GCGTAGCTACGTTTGACCCTTGTAGATACGCTTATACTGTTTCCTCGTAACGTCGTCCAAGTTGGTCCTGACTGTACCATTGCTTGCATTGTTTCTTATTACGGTAGCATCGATATTGAAACATTTTGACCCTTAGAAAATAACGTATATATCTTTCTCTAGGCTAAGGTGTTCATAAACCTTTTGCGTTGACACCAACTAGATGTGCCTATTTCCATCGCCGATATCTCCTTTATGTGTTTCTACTTTAGTAAAATAGCTATAATAATTAAAATAAATAATAAAATATAATTATTAAACGGAATCAGGATAAGAGTTTTCGCGTACAGACAAGCAGGCAAGCAGGCAGGCAGGAAGGCAGCCAGCTCACAGCGCGATCCTCTATAGCGCTTCTAATCAGTGACAGCGTGAGTCGGGTCGTATTTTGCAAAGAAAGCAGCCAGTATATGGCATCACTTTTTTTTCTAACCCTTCAAAAGAACTACAGACCCAGAAGGCCTTCTTAACGTATTGTTCCGCAAGCCGCTCGAATGAGCAGTACTAAAGATGCGCAGTGTTCACCCCCTGTGGCTCCAGTTAAATATTTTTACAGGTGAGCCAATTTGCCTATTATGTCCGAGTACGTCCGTACGAGCTGTTGGACGCGATGGCTAAATGCGATTATCCTGTTTCTGCTGAGCCTTCTGGGCCAGTACTAATTGAATGGACCAGTGAATAGGCCGTTTGGGTTGGTATTAATAGAAGCAAATGCAATTTAAAGCGTGCTGACATCGTTTAGGTAAGAATCATTATTAACTCCATCCACTAAATGGGGCCATAGCTGAATCATCCACCGAAGTGACTCATAGGTTGACGTGAGTTTTGCGCGTCAATGAATTGCTAGGAACTCCCGGGAAAAAAAAGTTTTTAAACGGGCCTTTGAAACGACTGCTACTAACAGAGTGTAACTTTATTGGATAAATTAATGAATTGACAGTCTGATGAAACCGAACTAGCTTGATCTATCGGACTTAGCAATAGTAAATTTCCGGTAAATGTTTTCAGATTAATTTAAATCAAGTACAAAATTCTTCTCTTAAAAGTTATAAAAAATTTCAGCTTAAATAGGTCATCCCGGTAGCCCAATAGGGAACTATATTTTTTATTAGAAGATTCACTTTATCATACTAAAGGAAAGTTTTTAAGGAGGCCGCTTAAATTATCCTTCACCCAGGCTAATTAAGATACACCTATTGAAATCAGTTCACCTTGTCCGCGTGAGACCGCCATTTCATTATGATACATGCAAAATTATTCGCGACCAGTACTGCGGGAAAGAAATCGTTCCGAAACGTCAATGAGCACAAAAACAGCGCAAACCCACAACAAAAAACCCACAGATACCTGACCGGCCGTGATCTGTTATCAAGCAATCACTGTTATTGAATTGTGAGTAAAAAAAAAGGCTAATATTTTGTGTTGCGTATATATCTATATATATATATATATATATATATGTATATATATATATATACGAGATATATACGAGCGTATCATCGGAACCCGAAAATTTTTTCTCTGTTTATTGTGTTTCCTGATAAATTTTTGCAGAAGGCTGCCCGCGACCCGTGACGTGAATGTTTGAATCGATAAAGGCTGTGGAATTATCATGCCGAAAGGTTCTTTATTTAGCGCCATACTGTATGAAATTCTTTATTTTCTTGGTACCTCATAGTACGCTGACATTCACATCAATTGACATTAACAATATGACAACAAGTTTTCATTATTTTAACATAAGGGTAAAAAAAATGGTAAAGAAATAAAATTTGTGCTCCTTTCAGTGTTTATGTGTACTAAAAAATGGGTTTTAAGTTACTGAAAAAGTTGACACAGTAGGAGTGTCTAAGGGATCGTCATATTACACGCCAACGGCTTGCACGCCGTTCACTTACCCTAGAGAAAGTCACGTAACAGAGGAAATTATATTGTCTCTAGACAACGGCATGAAGGGATTGCAGCTTCCATCATTCATTCACGTAAGTCTTGAGGGAAAGGCTTTCGTAATAGAGATCTCGAACGAAAAAGAACGGTTCGTGAAGTTATGGCTAAGTAAGATGGCAGACGATGTCTTATCAATTTCAGAAAACGTACGAGGAGGTTATTGTCTTACGTAAGGAGCTCGTTTGGGTAGATGATGAGCCTGACGAAAGTGCCCCGGCCTGACGGTCCTGTGGCACAGGCCACTCCCTCATACTCGGCCCACAAAAGATAGACATCATGCTTTAGTAATGCTTGTTGTCTGCAAAATGTATTACTCAAACCTTTTATTAAAAAAAAAACAAACCTATGATGCATTATATAGTAAAGGCCGAAATGCTACAAAAGAACATTTAAATTAGTCACATGAAAACTGGGTATGTAAAGGTATTTTACGCCCATTTAGGTTGACAATGATGACTGATATCTAGCTGGACACTTACAGCAAAAATTTAGCTAATTTACAGAGTGGTACTTGAGCGACATCCCTTAACGTAAGAAGCTTGTTCATACACACATATATACTTAGTTTATTTTCATTCTTTATTCTCTAAGTGCATATTTAGACGGTGACTGCGACACTGTCATACAATATTTTTAAAAATCATCTAAAGTAATTAAAAACTGTAAATATTTTTATATTTAAACAACTTGAGAAACCAATAATAATAATTAAAAGCTAGGATTATAGGCTCTAAAAACTCACAGATAACGCTAAATTTTTTGTACAAAATTTCACCGTATATTGGTTAACTATAGAAAACCGGTTCTATAACAAATTTAATATTCTGGATTCCGGTAATTCAAGTACAGCTTAGTAAAACGTTCAAACCAGGGCATCATCTCATCCATGCGATATAATCTGATTAAAATTAGTATTATTAAAGAGTGAGTTTAACTATGACAAGCCCAAAAATGCACGAAAATATAGTAGAAAACTAATTTACAGTTATATCTGCGCGTACCAATTTCTGAGGAAATGTTTCATAGCAGTACCGGACCTAAAACTGGAAATGATTCAGTCTTCACATTTGAAATCGCACCTGTGTAAGTTCGAGGAAAAATCAATCCTCCATTAGCTTTAACGTTCCCCCAGTTCAATTTCTGTCTGAGAACTTCAGGAACTTAGGAAGTAAAAAAGTATAAAGAAAATCGGCTTAGTTTGTAAGGATAAAATTAATATAGGAGAGTTTTTTTTGGCACCAGTCGTCTTTGCTTGGTCTTTCACCTGAGAAAGCGGTTTCACGGTGCTACCAAGGTATGATTAGCGAAACCATACGCACTTTATGCTATTCGACGAACCTTAGCAAATCGATCTGACATTTTACTTGTTTCATTCTTCATAAAATAAACCTCGTTTCGCGATCCGATCACGAAACATATCATGGTACTCTCTGCTCTTTAAAAGTTCCCTAAGTCGAGTACTTTCATTATTCTATAATTGTTCATTTATGTCAGACAGGCTGGGGTACCAACAGAGCTAGAAGCAGTTCGATAGAAGAACGAAACGGGTCATGGCGTAACGTGATGACGAATGACGATGTTATGTTTTGTTTCGCCGAGTAATAACTTTTGAAGGATATAGCATGCTGGTCCAACAGGCATTGAGACTTTTCACTACAACAACGGACTGCTACTTCCTGAGATTGCCTGATCTTTGCCGAGGCCAAATTTACTTATGTTTTTAAGATTGCTTAAATTCGATCATTACTGAAAGACAACGATAATTCTCTAATGAATCGGCGGGGATCCACTCCTATCTTTGTCGAACGACCTCCCACATATCAGATGGTATTTACTACAACATTTGCTGCAGACTTAGTTGACTTAAATGAATTGCTTAATTACTTTTAAAAAATAAGTTCTTCGTATCATTGGATAGTGGACACGGTCTGATAAATCATGATAACACGGATATGCTTTTTAAAAATAAGGCTTATTAATGTCTTATTTGAAACGCCATAGTTTGCCGCCGTTCTACCTGTATTATAAGACGCTCAGTCTGATATTATTATATATGAAATAAAGCTATTTTTCATCACGGTACGTAAAAGCGTATAAATAGAAATAAGTTGAATAGCTTAGGGTGTGACGGGTTACGAAACATGTCGCAAAGCGATTTAATAGAAGTCAAACTAGAATTACTTGTTTTATGTTAAATCTTATCATCAATACATGGTTGCGTTTTCGCCCTATGGACGTACAGTTACGGTTTTTGCAGATTATTTCAGGCCGCCCTGTTTTCAGCATTTCTAGGATACATTTGTTTGAATCAAAATGTCCAGTTAGGAGAATCTGCAGAATAATTTCACTGGAACCGTTTCGGAGCCGCACGCGTTCCCGAACACTGCGCTCACATCGTTACTGTTATTATTATTATCGTTGTTATTAGAATTTTCGTTTTTGATAACGGAAAATACGTCGGATAGAAATATCAGTTAAACCAAATTGTGCCTGCCCTAAAATCGATACTTACGCCGACGTACACTAAGTATCCACTAATTACCTGTTTTTGCATAGTAACATTGCCGTTATTTGATAACGCGACCCTTGATACTATCGTTAACCGCCAGTTGAGCTTACAGAATTGCAAAAACGATGTTAGCTCAGAATGACTGGTAAGCTAACCGCGTACAGTCTACTATAGACGCCCGTAAGCGGCGTCCAATCAGACAAAGGACACATAGCCTTTCGTCTGCACAGCTCATATTCAAAATACCGTAGAAGCGACACCTTAAACATGAGACGTCTGACAGGTGTACTTCAGGGGAACGAAATTATGAATTCGCGATATTCCGGTTGCTTAATTAAGCTATGCATCAATTGAGCTAGCCAGCATTTCTATATAGTATATAAATACATGAATAGCTGGTCTGTTGGTTTTAAACGATGTTTCGCTCAGTACCGAAATTCGTGATCAGCGGCAAGCCGACGACTCAAGCTAAATCTATCTAAATGAAACCATGTTTTTGTTCGAAGAGCCTTTATTATTGAGTATGGTAAATTTCGAAACGTTATCGAGGATGCCGGTGTGGTACGGTTAACGCCTATCTCTACTTTCTGATGATTTTTAACAAGATGCGATGTTTTTCTAAATCGTTAACCAGCAGTGGTTTGTTCTCCATCGTAGTTTTCCGCTGAGACGGTCAGACGATTTAATCGAACTTAAAATTACTATCAACCACAAACTGTCCGCGGTCTGGTACGTTCGCTTTGTCAATGCAAAGCCATCAACTCAGCTTTTCTATACGTACGGTTATTATAGCCATTTCTCGCTCGTAACTATCGAAAACTGAGGAGAAGTGAACATGCTGCCCAATCTGTGGATTTCGTACAGTGGCACTTCTACCTTCACCTTGTACCTCCTGTCCACACCAAATTGTTACCTTCCAAGTTAATTTTATTGTATTACTTTGCTGTTGACCTATGTCGAAGTATGAGAACCACATGCCTACATTTCTCGTGCTCTTATGAGCCGCAAAATAGAAGCCGACATTTCCAAGATAAACCGGTAGCGTTCGATAAATTTGTACCGAATCGCCTCTCGCAGACGGATAGAACTGAAGGATGTAGCATGCTGATTCAATAGGGTACGTGGCCGGTTTGACGCTTTGCCGTCTGCATTCGTCGGTCGTGGCCAGTCGTGTCTCGTATTGGCTAGCGCGTGAAGTTTTCTGCGGTGCACTATCCGGGCAATCTGGGGTCAAAACTGAGGTGTCCTTGCTCGGCTGAACTGATATAGCCGATTGTTTTGAGTCCTGTTCACTGTGTGAATTTTGCAGTTTGCTAAGCATCTTAGTCGCCGACGCTGGGCATGTTGACGCGCACGACGCGGCAGGAATATCACTGCCTGTGCTGCCGTCGACCAGAACGCAACCTGCAAAATGCTGTCGCAATTCGTCAGCGCCTAATACGATCTCACAGCACGGACATAGACAAGGCAGTTTAGCGACGAGCGGTTCCGGCGTCTGCACGTCTGTGATGGTCGCTGCCCTCCTAAAAATCGGACACATAAAGCAAGCGTTTCCTTCCAGACATAGTGCACTCATCACATCAATGTCTAGGATCTAAGGATTAGAGCAATGCAGTCCCGCCACGCGGAATGTATTATTAGCGGTCACCGTATGGTCGTTCTAAGGCTCGAAAGTTAAGAATTAGCTGAATTGTTTAAGAGTAGGATCCTTATTATATGTGTGAGCTATTTACCCGGTGGGGGTTGAACATTACCAGGGAAAAATACCGTTAGATCTCGCATACGAAACCCCGTTATAGTGCAGATCTTTTAAGAGACCTACCGACAGATCACGCAGAACGCACTTGGGACGTTTCTGTTCATTGGTAGTTTCAGCACACACCGATCACAAAAGACGTGCGCGCAATCGGTAAGATGCATTTTTGGGCAGACGTGATCACAACAGCCGCAGATTGCCAGCTTCTGTCGCAGATTATCGTCACCTGTATCAAAAGGGAGTTTGAACAGAATCATGAAGTTCACTTAGAACCCACTAGGGGGCGTAACAAAATGTACAGTTGAAAAGTAATTGAACCTTTTTCATTCATTGTATTATGCAGTATGGCGCATGTCAATTGGCAGGATTTGAACCCTATACCTCCGATGGCTCATTTGTCCAGAGGTGGGAGGGGTTGAATGATACTCAGTATTGATTTGCAGACAGAACAAATAGTATTTTCTTATAGAAGAAAAAGTTAACCCTAATCTTGAATTTCGACGTATTTTTTGTGGTTTATAACCCTTGAAGTTTCCAATATGTCTGTTCTTGAACGGAACTCGAGTTCGGCTCACGACGACACATCTGTAATGTTCTAGTGAGACAAATTCAAAAAAACCTATATCTAAATGACCAAAATGCCTCGACAATGAAAACTGCAAACCCTTTAAAACATTATTTTATACTTTTTCTGAACCAGAAGACTCAAGAGAACGAATAAACGAGTCATATTTCATACAGTACATGAATACGCGTAATTACCTGCACTTCGAAGGTCAACTTCAATCGAACCGGGAAGACAGATGGAAAATCCAGCCAGCTTCATCTTTGGTAGATTTCAGTGACAGGAACTTCTTATTTACTAGTTAATAGCTGATTCTGCAATTGGTCCTATGGAAATTTGATTTCGTCCGATACGGCTAAAACGAATAGGAGTCGCAATGAAGTTCCTCATAAATGAATTGATTTAACTCTACATCATGAATTCTACTAAATACATATAACTAATGAAGGATTAAGTACCTGGAAAAGTTACTGCTGTTGTCGTGCGCCCTTCGCACTGGAACTAAACCCCAAAACTCAATTACCGTTGTGTAACGACAACTATTTCTGCGTTCAGGTTTTTTCTGACGTAATGATTATGCTCAAAAATCTATATAAGGATGTACTCGCCTTTAGCCTAGATAATGGGAGTAATCGAGAAACGGAAACAGGTTGACCTCTTCTGTATTCGGGGCAATATTAAGTAACTTAAAAAATCCTACAACTGCAATAACGACAATGATAATCGTACCAAACAACGCTTTCCATATAAAAAATCCCTTTGCTGTCCCAGAGATCATCCCATCGAATTACTTCCAAGAAAAAACACGTTGCACATAACTAAATTTGTAGGTAAAACAGCTTGATCTAATATGATTCAAGCCAAAAACCTCTATGTCCTGTCATTACAGTGCAAAATTTGTAGGACGCCCTTTTTAGCATAAGCTCCCTTAGTACTTGATGCACCGCGACTCGACAGGACCGCTGTAAGATGGCTGCCGACTTTCCTCAGACGAGACAAGCACCCCTAGAACGAAGTAAAGATTCTTTCAAATCTGCCGTCATAGTCGATTCTGCTTCAGCTAAGGTAATTAGTGCTTCGTTAACATCAGAGAAAACTGACTATTTTTCCCTATTTAACACCTTTAGCACTTGCCCTGCAAGGTGCAAAAGAACAAACTAAAAAATACCCGCAAGAAATCGAACGAAGCTAGCGTGTTAGATTTCTCAGTACGGAGGCGCTCAGCAGCGTGCAGTCATGTGCGTGTATAAATATGACGACCGTGAACCTTAATCGTTATTATGAACGCAGTTATCATTGTATAAAGTCATACTGACGCCTCCTGCTTTTAATAACACTAAAACCGTTGTGACGGCAAAAGTTCATGTATATAGAAATGGTTAAGAGGGCATCCTTCATCCACTGGGCAAAATTGGCCCCCATTAAAATTGCTTAATTATCATTCTACTTGGTGCATAGCCTCTGGCTAAAAAAAAGTGAGAAGTCGTTGTTTCAAGTCCCCTAAATGATTCACACAATAAAACGTATGTGAATAAAGACAATGCCATCCTTTATTTCCATAGATTAGGTCCATAGATAGGTCTAACCATAGATTTTGTATTGTTCAACTGTTAGTCTACGTTGACCTCACGTTATCTTATAGGAGAAATCGAGCTTAGAGTAAGTTAATGTTTAGTAACATGAAATGAAATAGTTTTTTGAACAATATCATAATGTTTGATAGTTGGGGTAATTTATCGAACGTTTTGCGCTTTTTTTTTTTTGAACTGACAGTGAAATCTGATAAAACGAGCACCCCATTAAGTGCGGTCACAGTGAAAACAGGTTGGGTATCCTTCAACATAACGTTCCGAATGCGCGGTTTTCAAATTATTTCGACCATTTTAGAGAGCTATATTTAGCAGGAAGAGTAGAGTACATACTAGCGATTTGATACACTTTATACTGATTATTCCACAGGCAAAACACCTGGAACATGGACCACCCTGCAAGCTCTTATGATGTCTAAAAGCACTATGATTTTTAACGAATATATCTTTTGCTTTCAGCGCCCTCCCGTGTTAACTATTTTACTACAACATTTAAAGAACGCCCGGCTTTACCGACTCAATTAAACGTTTTGGAAATATTATTTGGATCAAATATGAATTAAGGCCCAGGCATACCGAGTCCAAGGTTTGGTAAGTGACAGTTCCACAGAGTAGACGACTACTTTGATAATGAAGTCTAGCGTGCATCATTATCTGTATCTGGGTTTGATGCTGGCAGTACGTTCTTTTATTTTTCTCGATCCATAATGGCTTTCCGTCTGCTCGTACTACCTATCTGTTAAGATATGATGTTGCATGTTCCTCTAAGCTACTCAACTAAAAGCAGAATTGATCACCCATATATACACAAACGAAAAGCACAATAACAATGTTTACCTTATTATTACTTCGCAATAATTAGTAAAAATAGACTTCTAGATAGTCCGTCGAATGTTTAACATCCAAAAGACTTGAGCTAAGACGTTAGGACCTTTTGCTGTATGTAGGTGAGGCGTTCTTTGTTTAGGCCGAAAGTTTAAAACTAATTCAGCTAATTCAATATTCAATTTAAACAAGTTCAGATCAAGCTAACCGCCTGATTTCAGCACTACACAGCGGCCATATTGCCTAACGCGGAAATTCAGCGCTATATACGAATTGTATGATCATTTAGGCGGTTTCTGCTGACAAGGGTTACAAAGGCAAGATATACCTACAGAACGCTGTACCAATGATTCATTAGTATCTAACCATCGAGAAGAATGACGTCGATTCACCTCTAGACATCCAAAAAAAGCAAGAGACCATTTCAGTAACATAATTTTTATTGTAGTTGTGCCTTTTCAGATTTTCACCAATGAGTACTACAAGCATGTAGCTTCTCGGCTAGCTCACTTTGGATGAGTTGTCTCGTCCACCTCATACCTGTTGTTCTGTCAGGGACTGTACCGTTGCCATTACGCCGTCTCTAAGTCTTTCTGCTTTGAATGACGAAGATTTTCTTAAATCCGTCAGCGTTTTCTAAGTCGTTCTGTCATTTCAAGCTGACCTGCTACAATGTGGGATCGAGATTAGTGAGAAGCTTCATTCTTATGCTTTCGTCGAGGTCTATTCGAGGTATCTGGAGCAATCGGTATAGTTGGTCGCGTGGGTCCAAAGCCAGATGACTTTGTGTGCCGCATCTCTGCTCCTTCAGTATTTCATTTTCATATTTGGCTGTTGTGACTTGCTTGATAGCGTCTCAAGCTAGATAAGCTGTCCCGCCTTCGAGGCGTCTAATGCGGATCATCTTAGTTGACAACAATACCACTGAAGAACTCCGCGACAGGATAACTCCTATCTTACTATCTCTAGCTAAATCTCATCAGCTGTAGCTATAGCGTATTGTACTAGTTGTATTTTTACTTTGCAATCGTACTTTACGTAAATTACGCCTCGCTCTCTATAACTACGTACCCTGCCTCAGGAAATAGGTCGAATTAGGCTACTTGGTCGTTGCGATTTTTCGAAGAAGACAAACATCAGGACTACACAGTGATTTGTGGCTAGGGTAGACTATCTTTTGGTGGATTTTGTTACTTCTAAATCTGTTCCACTGAGCAACAAAGAGATTCATATGGAGATAGAGCCATGCACTACTAATCGAAAGTCCGAGATGTTCCTAAAGGTGAACTTAAACGGTAAAGCAAGAGTAACAGTTGCAGCGTTTGTTCGTGATTTAAGATTTAAAATGACGATATTTAGATTGTACTTTAATGGTGATATTTCAGTGTACAATTAATTATAGTTGAAGCAATAATCAAATCGTGTCCTAGCTAACAGAGATAATCTTTTAAGTAAAACATTCATATCCGTTAGCCATTTTTGCGGAAGAACTGATACACGGTACCAAACGCTAAGAACAGGCTCTAAATTAAATGGACCAAGCTGATCCTACCAGTTTTGCGGTTTTTCTTTTCGAAATTTTCCCCCCTAACCAAATAATATCATTTTAGTTACGTGCACGTGTACATAGACGGGCTCGCTTTTGGCATGCATCGAAGACAACCTCTTAGCAACACGATAACGGCGAGTAACAGGGTTACCTCAGGGGCCGTTACGCAGGACGCACTGTGGCAAAATTTATACAAAGATTTTATCGAAATAAATCATCCGCGATTATCTCAGTCCAAATAATCCATATCTTCGTGGTTATAGTTAAACGCACAAAATCAAGACAAAAACAACAGCCGCTGCCTAGATACTTAAGTTTATGGGTATTGTGGTAATCTATTAAGCGCTGACAAATGAAAACGAATCCTTTCGCTAGTCAATGTTGAGACATTTTATTTGGCTTTCTGTTCGACAGTGATCTAATTTTACACATACGGATTTTCGAAGCTCACCTCCAAGATCTTATTAGCTCGTCTGGTGTACTTGGCAAAGAAGTTTTTTATACTAAAGGGGTGATATGCAAATTTGTTAATTGCATGTATAGGGTTTATTATAGTACTTTTTTGTATTTTTATGTATTTCGCTTCCATTGTCACCGACACCTTAATAAATAGTCGAGCCTGGTTTTCTTGCCCTGTCTTGTTTCGGAGCTTAAGCAGCAAAAAAAGATCTGATTTACCGCGATAGGCCAAAAAAAAAAAATCGATTGCTCCGGAAGTTTGCTTCGCTGTTCTATACTCACCTCGCTTAATATGCCTTACCAAAACAAGACGCCAGGTATCAAAAAGTACCGCGTTTTGATCGAGGTTTTTTTGGATGGGTCTTTGCAGCTTCTTTGACGCAAGGACGTGTTCCAAGTCGCCGTCTGAAGTCTGCGAGGTTGAGTTTCGAGAAAGCGATTTTGAAGTGGTGGGAGCCTCTGAGGTCAGCTGAGGAACGACTTCGTTATCGGTTTTGCAATTTTTCACGTGATCTTTCAGATCTTTAATCTTATTGGTCTTCGTGCACATCGGACAGAGGCCCTCGAGTTCAGCGATTAGTTCATCTTCATTCGTTACCTTGATAATACAGGAAGTCGTCCTGTAGGCAGTAACAACAATGAATTAAATGCTGCTAGGACCTAGTCGGGCCTTTTCAGAGAGTATGTACCTCCATGCTGATATGAAAATGGTGCTGAAATTTTCGCCTGATCTGATCAGACCTTTCTTAAAAACTAAGGGATTATATACACATGCTCTATCGAATACCCGACTAGCCATAAGACATTGAAAGAGACACATAGTAAAGACGTAGATGAGTTTTGTAAGCATAAGCCGTGTTTGCATTGAAACAAGTCGTGATTAACGTCAAGCACATAATCATTCGCTGGTAAGTTTAAGCAAGGTAAATTAAATTTGGGTTAATTTTACCCGCCGCCTACTCCAGCGTCTTAGACGAACAAGTGCTGCTTTCGACAGTTCGTTGAGGTAGTATTTGATTTTTCGCAGAGCCGTTTGAACCGTGTTTGGAAAAACAAATTTTAAAAGATTACTTCTACATCAGCGCTAAATTGTTGTTTACAAGGCTATGGTGCTTTCTTTAGCTAATGAAAGAAAGCGAGTCTCGCTCCGACTCCGAATATATTGTATGTGCTTTGTCACTCTCTACGAATTTTTCCCGTTTCCTACCTAATTTTCGTAAAAATATTCAGGTTACCCAGGTCTTTTTCATTATCAAATGTAAAATTACGAATTCAATTAGCCAATGATAAAAAAAAAGGCGATAATTTATCGGAGTTAGCATATGATACAACATGTTTTCTACGAGAGGCCCCTCATGACGGATTTCACGAGCCTTGCCGTAAGCAGTGAAACAGCTTGGCATGGTCGGGGAAAGAGCTGATGTCGCTTTGTTCGTCAAGTCTTTTCTATGAGATTGTCCTGTTTAGCCAATGGGACTCGCCCATATTCGAGTGTTTGTTGACAGTTTCTTTCATGTATTGCCTACTATATAAGGCGCATCCAGCTCCACCAAAAACGTTCCACCCAAAAAATCTGGCCTTAAGTGTACTCGCAGGTTGTTTCCTGTGCTTAGTAGTGATGTAGAGACACCATCTCTCGTAGCCTGTAACAATTCTATGTGGAAATCAGTCAGTGCAGTTCTGTGTCGCTCGAGATGTTTATAGGCAATGAGTAACCCATATTTCCTTGTGTGCCTCACTCAGAGTAACTTTTTAGGACATCCCGGGTCGTCAAGATGGGTGAAAATGGCTATATGAACGCAGTTCAATTCCCGGCCAGTTCGGGAGTAGTTCGTAGGCCGCCTTTTTTAAAAGGCCTCAAGGTAAAATTTTACTCACTGTTTATCGAAATAATAGCAAGTTTTTAGAGGTAACTCTTTTTAATGGTATATAAAAGTAGAAAAACAATGGATCTTTTACAAAACCGTTACTATTTTCCTAGTAACCTAGTGAACTATATAAAAGTATTATATCACTTTCATTTCACTATGGAGGTATTATTCTTACAAGACTAATATATCGTTCGCTTTTCCACAAAATGGACAACTAGGAAGAGGTGTTTCTGTTTAGGTCATTACAAACAAAAAAGGCTGATGCGACACTAGCAACGCTTTTGTTCCGTGACAATACACTTACCAGCAGATTAAGCATAAAGCCAATGACTCTTGCTTTCCGTCAGTTTCCGTGGTCCATTTGAATAGACAGCGGTCGCAAAAGGTATGCCCACATTGAACGACGTTCATATTTGAACAGTACCACTTGCATACGCTACAAACCCATAATTTTTGTTGTAGCTGTTGCCCTGTGCAGGCAAAGCACAAAAAACATGGCTTAAAACCTCCTTAGCATGCAACTAAAGTGATAAGCTATTAGTGACGAGATCATTCCAGAGAGCTAACCCATATTCCTCGTCGACATTGTCATGCCGGAACACAAACACCCGATGCCATAGTCGTATTCGCAGCATTTCAAATATTCGACTTGACCAATCGAAGACGGTAAATCGATTATAGTATTAAGCCAGGAAAACTGTGTCGGCGCAGAGTGTACAGAGAACAGGTTTTCATAGCTTATTATAATAGACAATTATTAACACAAACATATTTGTCGGCTTAACTGTAGTCGAGCTAAGATTCGATGCAGCACATTGCCGTCTCTTCCACTGATGGAACTCGTAAGCTTTGTGTGTTTTTTAGACAGTTGAAAAAAAAAGGATCTTGCGATACTTCCTTCGCTTCCATCCATCTTAGATCTTTCAAGCAAAGGTTGATTTTTGAACAGCTAACCTATTTTTAAAACTTGCTCCATTTTGAGCTGAGGGAGAACGCAGCCGCTCGTAGCCTGCAACGGCCTCGTAGGACCATTTAGTAGTAGTTGTTCTTTACGCAACTAGTCGGCGGCAGACAATGCTTCTAAGGCTCGACGAATACAAATGACTTCTCTGCCGAACTGTTCTTATAAAGACTCCCTCAAATTAGCTTTGAGAAAAATGATTTGCGAAGCAATAACTAACCAATATCTGTAAGTTTGATGTCAATTGCGCCCAGATGAAGACCGCTGAATCCACACAATTTCATACTGAGTCGATACTTCAGTACGATGGAATTGTCTCAGATCTCTAGCCCGATTATGGTAGATACATAGCTGAAAGTGACTTAGGAGCAGTCGACAATAAACAAGATTAGTTTGGAAAAAGTTTAACTGTGAAGTTCCTGTCATATGAAGTTCAACAAAGAATAACATTCACCTTACGAATCATATTAATTATTATCAATTAGTGTAAAAGGGATTAATCCTATCGTAAAGCAAATTTCTCCTATAGCTGCTAACGTTATCGAAAATTTTGCGGAATCTCGTTGTAGAACAACCCGCAGCGGTTGCTGGTCAACGTTCAGCAACAAAATCTGACCATGACCAGATTCGAGCCTACTCTGCTTGATATTTGTTTCTGGACACCAGTCCCGTAGATGTAATAGGCAGACAGTCGTCATTCGTACTTACCTTTGTTGTTGCTTATTGATAGGCAGCGTGTGTTTTGAAGCTGAAAAAAAAGCATAAGCGACTAGGAACAACGAATAGTTTCCACTTACGGTCGAATCACTGTTTTTGATATATGTCTCAGGTAACGGATTTTTGTTTTTTTCACTTTCAGTCAACTAAATGCCCACAGAACGCTGGGATACTCTTTTATTTTAATTAGTTTAATAAACCAGGCGACTTTACGTTACGAATAGCACGATATAGGCACGAGTAGGAAAGGATTTGTTTGCTGAACAGATGACTGATCTTTGGATTCTGACAACTCTCCGACAAGGCCCATGTTGTTTCAGCCGGAACAACTTGTTTCGAGTGCATATTATTGCAGTGACATGATCGTTGGCTTAGCTAACGCGTTACAAGGTTATCTGTTGTCCCGTATTTCGGGTTCGGCTTGCGATCGATGAGAGTTGAAATTGGTGAGGTAAACTAATTGAAAGGTACTCAGATGTAAAAAAATACATCTACAGATAACAACCATGACGCATAGTCTTTTCAATCATCATACAACAACGAGGCCATCACAAGAGTGGCTTATCATGGTTATTTTATCACTTGACCGTTCTGAGCCGATACTCGTTTATGTCATAGAGCCTATATTCTAACTAAGCACTACGTAAATTGTTTTTCTCACAATAGTTCATGCATTGAATATCACTATAAAACGGATTTGTGCGAGGGCATGGTTGATTATGATTAAGACGTCGTTGGAGCTAGAAAAGCCCAAGGTCAAGAAGCTTTACACAATAGTGACGGCGTACTTCAAGTGTACGTTAGCTCTTGGCTCTATTCAAATCAAGATTTGTCACAACAGCTAATGATTGCAATACGAACTGTGATGAAGTGTGTGCGATGCGTGAAGTACGATGAGGAACTATCCCAACGAAACCAATAAAAAAAAAGTATCCTATTTGTAAAGATTTAGCTTGGGACACATAATATATAAAAGCTTTTCTATAGAATAGTTGATATTATTATAATTACTAAGCTAAATCGTAAACGTCTGGATCGTTATTAACATAGTTGATTCTACCGCTGTTTTGTACCTCTATCGCGATCGCGAACTTACATATTTTGACGTAAAATTTCATTGTAAGTTTACCTAAAGAGGCTTGGCTTTAACCTTATTTTGAAAAATAAATGTATTTTCTTATCCCATTGGCTGTTTATTTTCTACCTAGAGATGGTCTGAAGTCTGAAACAGTAGTAGCCAAACTTGGAACAAGGTAGCTGCCTGAAACAATATTCATAAATGATTCGGGCTTTTCGTTCAGTACTGCTTTAGATGACTGGCGCCCAGCAAGCGATTCGAACCGTATCTATATTTGTGTCGCGACATTCAGTAGTCGAATGCGTTACTATGGCGTCATCAGTTTGTGAACTTTAAACTTTGGTGAACTCCGTACACCTAAATAATGCCTAAACTTATAACTGAAAACGAGCCACTTTCTATATTAGAAGTATCGTTTATTTTTATCTTGTTTCCAGTAGGCGTATTTAGAAAGGCCAAGGTTCTACTTGCTCGATACATACAGTTAGTATGACATTATCTCTTTCGTTGCTTTGGAAGAACGAATCTAACGTAGCGAGCTGTCCAACTTCATAATTCCTTAAAGTAGTAGTATGGCCTGATCCTTCAGTTGCTTGTCCGTGTCGTACAGTGACTTTTAACACGGAGAAAATTTTTTGAGTTAGATTAACTCCTTCGAGTAACGCAATCCGAAGGTACAGACTTTTACTCCGGGTAGTCGCTGCGAAATAGATACCCAGGCCCGCAGTGTACACCGTCGGTGTTCTATACGTTTTACACGATTCAGACGTCTTATAATTATAGATTAATTGAACTGCATAAAAGCTTGGAAATGTGGGCCGATTCATAGCACGCAGTTTTTCTTCAATAACATTCATTCGATTCTCAAGAAGGTCCTCAGACTCACGCCGAGAAGTAGCGAAAGAACTGTTGGCCTCGTGGATGTCGTGGTTTTCTTCACTCGAATTACGGTGTTTATTCGCAATAGCTAGCACCTTAGTCGTCGTTCCCTGCACTCTTTCCGGATTTCTGATACATTTCACAAAATGATCTCGTAGTTCCTTGACTTTCAATATGACTTCGCACGCTGGACACGAGCAACAAAGTTGTGTTACAAACTTCTCCTGAATACGAATCTCCATAGTGGCAACAAATCGCCTAAAACAAGTATCTTGTTTTATTTCCTGAGAAGTCTCGTTGTTTCCAAATACATTAAGATGAGTTATGAGTACAGATAAGCTCAAAAACGCTGCGGTGTTGACAAGTCATGAGCTTCAGTTTCGTTTAGATTCTGCTCTGGAGAAAACGGGGACTTCGAGAGAATTCAGAAGAATAGACTGAAATTTCGCTCGAAATTCAGTGATCTATTTCACATAGAAAACACATTAGCCAGTGTTAAATCTACTTTAGCTAATTCATATAATGTACAAATATTCAGTAGTTTTAAAGTGCGGTACAGGATAACGCCCGATGTTTAGCCTGTAAATAGTTATTATTTATATTATACGGGGTAACGCTGACATCGCAGCTCGTACCAGGAGTCTTCTGATTCCGGAACGTTAGGATATTAGAGCTATTGAAACAGCAAAAGTGGAGTGGGTATGAATCAGAAGCTATGTAAGTAACAATCGTATACTGAGCTAAATCGATAGCAGCCACAGTACGGTACAAAAGGGTTAATGTAAATTAAACGTATCAGGCAACTATATGAAAACTATGGCTTTGTTCAGAGTAGAAACTGTATCACCGAAAATTATAAACACCTTACAGCGTCTATCATGATCATTTTATTGTTATTTTTATACACTTCACAATGATTGCAGTGCTAGAATCAGTTATGCCTAAATTCATGTAGCTCGTAAATCGTCCATGTTATTTTATTGAAAACAACAATAACATATATCAGTTTGAGTAGTTTAGCACAGGGTTACCTGCATATCGCGCATATGGTGGCTGAAATATCTTCGGCAACGACCTGCTCAACAAGGCAACGCTGACAAAACACGTGGCCACAGTCTCCGAGACGCATTACCGGGCAACAGTAATCGCAGCAGCTGCAAATGGCGAGTTTCCGCTGCAGTTGAGCCTCTAATTGTTTGATACAGGGACGAAAAGAAAGCGCACAGCTTGAGACAATTGCTGCTTTTGCCCCGTAAACACGGACGTTCGCTGATGAACGAAACGCGATGTCGGTTCGATACTTTAGAATAAACAAACGTGGCTGGTCAAATGCCAAATGCTCTGATAAACAACGTACCGGAGTTTGCAGGTGCGACTTCAATCGCGCCCAACTGAAGAGAACTGAATCCCCAAAGCTTCATGTCGAAACAGAACCGTTTGTAGAAGTAAATGCTGTACTATATTGGACTTGTTATGTTTCGTCGTTGCGTTAGTGCTCCAAGTTTATGCAGACGCAGCATCAAGAATCCTGAGCAGCCAACTGAAACCTAATTTGCATTACAGAAGTTTCGAGGCTATTTAGCTCGAATTTATTAAATCAGACTCAAGAAAATATAAAAGCTATCCTAAATTTGTTCGTCGTTAAGGTGAATTTTCGAAGGTGCGACAGACAGCATGTTTTCGTTCGGTGACCTGGATAGCTGTTGGATGTTGCTAACGGGTGCCATGGAATCCTTAAAATCTGTATTTTGATTGCGATAATACTTTGACGGTTTAAGTAAACAAATACTTCGACATAAACAAAAACGACTATGGCTATGTAACCTAATGCTACTAAACTAAAACCATGTAATCGTGCCTATTGAATGCATGTTGAAATATAGAAACACAACTTGTTTCTAGTTCAACATTCATTTTTACATCGAGAAAGAGCTGTAGCATGAAGTCCGAGGTGTGAATCATCTATTGCGTAAGCAAGTAGATTCTAAATCTTCAACCTAAAGAAATATCAATCGTTTTGAAGCTCGATTTATTTCGCACTGTTACATTACCTCTGAGACATTTGAACTTTATCCAGTGCAAATGTACAAAACTGCTCAGACGACATAATGTATTCGTTTAACTCTGATACGACAGTTTAGCACCTAACAACTGCTACGGTACACTTTTCTTGTTCTTTACCCTTTTGGGGGTAAAAGCACAAATTGTAGTTTTTTATAGAACAATGGACAGAATCGCGTGACATAATCTTACAAATATTAATCGGTGTTCCTCGCATTTAATAGCATATCATAGCTCATCATCATATTTGTAACTAGTCTATAATAGAAAGCAAAGTTACCTCTTAATCCTGGTTCAATTCGAATTTGATTTGTTTGAAAAATGAAATTTTCTGGAAGACTCGTTGGTGATTACTATGATTTTCAAACAAAAGATTCCACGTACTCTTCATGTTAAGCACTTATATTAGTTTAGTTATATGATCACTGGCAAATGCTAGAGACAAAACATTTTAATAGACAGCATTGAAAATTACTAAGTAAGAAATTCATTTCAAATCATCATGAGGTTGCTTATTAGTTGGAAATAATCTAACAGGTGTGACGCACTTTGAGTCGTCTGCCCATTATGACTAACACACAAAAAACCTAAAAGTAGGCTTAATATAAGCCAAGTAAACTAACATGAAACTGCATCACGCTAGGCATATCAGATCGGTCAACGGAACGATGACTCAGCCTTCTTGATAAAAGTCATGGAAAATTCTGCAGTAACACATATGCCTACTAAATAACACGAGAGATGAGCGAGTAAGATTCGAGAGAGGGTTAAGATATACTTCGTTTTGTGCTCGAGGACAATGGTCTGAAACATGGTTTTAGACAGAAACATATTGTCCGTATAAAATTGTTTCTGACGGCGTGGTCTCTTTTTTACCTCCAATAAAAAGTCTTGATGATCGAACAGCTCAATTGATGAGAAAAGACTTTTTGCCCATCAAGGAAGGCACAAGGTTGTCTACACAGAGTTTTGAGGATGAAGAAAATGCTTCCTAGCTGGGCATAGATGTTTGTCCTCACTTAACGTAATCGTCGAGCTTCACTTTCCAACGGTATGGCTTGCTTGATCAATGTAGGACAGACAAATTTTGCGGAGTTGGCTTCCGACAATTCTCGTTGGGAATAAGCCAAAGATTTTACGGCAAAAGAATCTGCATTCTTCTCGATAAGTGGCGAGGGACCAAAGGTTAACGGCTGAGGTCTCAATACAGTTTAAAGAAAAGATGAAACCGGATTAAAACAACTTATACATATCATCTGCTGTACCCTACCTAGACCTTTTCTATAGTACTTACTCAAAGTTCATACAGCAATGTTGACTGCTGTACAACTAATACTGGTTTGTCGTCCTTCGGTTATTCTGGTAGTATTCATCCATGAGCTCACGAACGTCACGTGCAGACGATGCAGTTCCTCACCAATATAAAGATTGAAAAAATATTCGGATTACGTTGAGTAATACGGAATACCCTTCATGCTTGTTTGTAAATTATAACACAATATCCAATTTTTTTGTAATTTTCTGGCGTATACCTCGTATGGTCGTTATTTTCGTCGACGCCCCGCCATCTTAGCAAGCGTCTTGCTGGCGCACGGTACAACCCGTTAACGCTACTGAAGCCTATACCAAAGTGGACTCCTCTAGTGGAAAGGGCCCTAATACTGTTCTTTCCGCTGCCACTTTTAACTGTCGACGGGCCACGAAGGTAATATTTGGTAGCAAAGACTTCGTGTTCTGCTAAGGCCGTCCCGAATATAATACATCGCACCATCAGGCATTGGTTAGGTTATCTGGACAGGGAAATCGAACGTCGATTTATGTGAATGATTTGTGCAGATAAACCAAAGAGAAACGTTTTGTCAATCTTATATATGTATTTCCATTTAAGGATTGGCCCTGAGTCATGCTGTATAATAAACCTTCGAGTACTGGAATGGCGCCTAGGCTTTGCTCTAAAAGCAGGCTATTACCCGAATGCTAATGAATTGTGTACGGATATAAATAGGATCAACGTGGAAAACTAAATCCTACTAGGCAAGCATAAACTATTTAATTATTCAGAAATTAAACCCGCAAAATTTAAACACGGTGAGCCCGCGAAGTTTGAATGCGTTAAATCCGTGACGAAGGAAAATTGCGTAAGTTGCTCGTGAGATACGAATGTATCGGCATAATCAGCACACGGGCAACTAAATAACGCATAATATATTTATCTGAATAAGCTACAACAATCATAAATATATGTCAAAGCAATTTTATCGGTCTGAAAAAAATAAGAGTGAGCACTTGGTTGGAAAAACTTATTAAAAGTTGTTGGTCAATAAAGGCTAATACTCCGTTAGATTCTCCCTAGTAAGTCTTTGAACCCGAGACACTTCGGACACACAATAGCGACGAACAATGCTTGGTAGATATAAACAAAAAATAACAGAGACTGGATATTTAGTGAGCAGCTTGATCCACACCTAGCCTACGAATAGAAGACTCGAATTGAACGAGGCTGATACCTTATCATTCAGAAATTCCTATCTCATATGACCAATTAAAAACCACGAAAATGTCAGTCTAGATCACGAAAGTCCATCAACAATCACCCGTTTTACCGCTGCTGAATCGCGACAGCTTAATACATATGTATCTTCGATATTCTACTTCGAATCTCCTGATCGAACTGACCGCAAACCACAATAAGACGCAAATACAGATCAAATGGCCAAATAAATAGAGAGTTTTATGGTATCGATAGATCTCTCACCAATACGTACGCACGCAGGGTTAAATAAACGAGAATTGTCATCTCCAGCTGGGCAAATAGAATCCTATAGAAGAGCCTCGTCAAAAGTAACGACAGAGGCATACTTGTGAAGTGATCAACGACTTGGGCTTTGGGCATTTGAAAGAACGCCATTGTATATATATACAAGATAATATAAATAAAAATAAACACAAACTTGAGGAACAATAGGATAGACAATAGGAGGAACAATAATGAAAGGAACCAATACAACTTGTTCATCATTTTCAACGGCAGTCTTCGTAAACAACAGCAATATTGCTGTCTTTCAGCAAGTTTAACCCATCTAAATAGCACTCGTTACAAAGAATTCATGAGAATTTCATATTCAAAGAGCACAGATCGGATGAAGTTTTTAAACGGTTGAATCTGCATTTTACGTAGGCACCCGTTTTTTTTAACAGAAGGCGTAGTTCTGTCCTCAGACAATATCAATCGCTAACCTTGTTGACTAATCATGCTAAAAGGCACTAATGATAAATGTCATTGCGACGCGAGCGCTTGTGTTGCTCAAAGGGACGAATCAGCCAATACCACACTGTCTCGTTCTGCTCGCGTATCGTCCCCCCGAAACTTGAAGCAGACCCTCCCCCCGCCCCCCCACAAAAATTTATGCTGATAATATTGAAAGAATAAGTAGTATTGTTATGATTAGTTATTACTGGAGAATATAGACGTCTTAAAAATTCGCTATCTTGTATGGAAAAACCTTAGTAATATTTCCGTTTGAGGAATGAGAAAGTACAAGGATCTCCTACGTGAGGAAAAATCCTACCCTATGCAATAAACAATGAGCGGGAAATTGAGTGGCTACGAGGCTGACCGTTTTCCGTAGTATCAGAATTCGGAAAAATTTCAGAGCTAAAAGGGGTAAGATGGCCGGCCGAAAATTTATCCTAACTCAGAAAGCATACAGCTTTAGTATTAGACCAACCATAATTTATTGCTAGAGTCAATGAGCCGCTGCATCGAAAGCCGTTTCATGCAAGTCTCCTGCGGCGCATTCGGAGTTATTACTGCTGCTTTCTGTAAGTTCCTGTTTTTGTATCCCTCACCGCTACTATTTTTCCAATATTTGGGGTATGCCTCCATTAGCCGCGGTTCAACCAGATTCGGCTAGAATAAAACTAGTGAAGAGGCGATACCGGCAGCCTACATACTTTAGTAGCATATATCTGGAAGAAATAAGGGGTAGAAAATGAAACGGGGCAAAATGTGGGGCTCTAGATAATCTAAAAGTCGATGCTTGTTGATATAGTTTTTGATAACCCAATAGAAAAACAGGCATAGATCGCTCATGAAATGTAAGACTCAGTCCGCAGAACAAAAACTTTTTCGGAATAGCAAGTTGCTATAATGATCTTGTTTTCCTTATTATAACAGTAACTTACAGCGTGACCGAATTGTTTCTTTCAGAAACCATTACTCCAAAAGTTGTTGTGTTAAAACAGACAAACTTATTGAAGGATCAGTATCGCTATAACTCATTCGAATATGTAGAGAAAGCTATGTTTTTTGGGAAGTTTCTTCATCTTCGCAGATTCTAAAGGTGCGAATGTTTTTGATACTACGAGTGCAGCTAGTTGTAGGAGGCGCGACTTGAAGAAGTTTCGTCATTGCTAAATTTTGTCTGCTATATTTTTGTCATGACCTTCATGTAGGCCCGAAGACTGCTGTTATGAAAAATAAGAGTAGAATAATTTTACTCTTTTTTTCTTCTAATTTTCTCTAATAATTCTAATAATATAATAATAATTCTTCTAATAATTCTCTTTTCTTCTAATTTTTTTTTTTTAAAGCACAGGCTAACACAAACACGAACCGGTTTACTCATCATCTTTTTAAATGAAATAATGATTTTATTAAAAAAGGTTTTTTTGCCAGCAAAATATGAGTTCTTAGATCATGTTGTCCAGAAAAAATCTTCATTTAGGAAATGCTTCAGGAAAAAATCGACGCTTTTTGAATCAAACCAAAGCTGCTAAGGGGTATTTTCTTTTCACTGTCCGAAACTTAGCGTTGCGTAATCTGGAACGTAAGGTAACTATGTAGGTAACAATTTGCTTGCGCTGCTCATTCCGAAAGTAGAGGCCACATAAGAATCCAATATAAAGAAAATGCATAATGACAGATATCGAGCGTCGAGGCATTTCTAAGCCTCTTGCCAGGGCAGGATATCAGATCGGAGTAAATTTCGGTTTCTGACTCCGGTCCTCCTATTCCTAATACAAGCATCATCTTGATAATGATACCGGAACTATTTTTGCTATGAAATCTGAAATTAAAAAAGAAGTCTTATTTTTTGCCTTGCACTAGGGTCTTCTATGGCTACGGAAGAGTTCGTGCGATGCCAGTGAGGAAAAACTGCGACAGAATAAAGTCTCAACGGTTTTAGTCACGGTTTGGCGGGTGTCAGCACTGAAAAGGTCTTTCTTGACAAATTTCATTCAAACAAACGTAGGAACGACAGGCGATGTGATCCAGCTTCGAAACCGAACGTAGACACATAATCTTTTCACGCTCCAATTTTATGAAGCACCGCTTAACGAACGCAATGGAACTGCACCTAAAGAATCGAACCATCTACTGGAGTCATCTACTCTAAGATTGCAAGGAACGCTTCATTTGCCGATCGATATCTGTTGTTGCTTCTTTAGATATCTACATACATTCTGCTCAGTAAATCCAATATTCAAATCACCGAAATGTCGAATGTTATGCTCAAGTGAGTCAAAAGTCAACCTCTATATGATGCCTAACTTGTCGAAATAATTGGTTGAGTGCGTTTTTAAAATTGCCTAAAAAACACTTGACAGCAAACTTGATACTTCGATCAGCTACACAGATCTCTCACTCGCTATAGCGGATAGCGCCGTACTACAGTCGGCATATCACCTATAGCGAGTCAGTCACCGGAACTTGAGAAAATACTTGCAACAGTCAATGCACCGGAACTTGAGAAAATATCCAAAGGTGATCCTTTCAATTGCCAATGGACTATTGCAAAGTAATAACTTTGCAGGTAAAGCTAGATCTAGGAAATGGGGCCGTCCGAAGCTATTTTTCACGAGCAGTCTTCAACTTAATATGCAAGTGTATGAGCCAATTTTTGGCGAAAAAAATTCTTTAAACTCGTTTGGGCTAGAGCTATATTACCATATATATATATATTATTATTATTAGTGTCAAAAGCCAAGCATAGCATTAGTCGTAGAGGCTAGTTAATTGAAAACATCGAACTCGTCGGTTTGATTCTACGCAGACTTGGTGTACTCATGAAGTCTATGTAGAGAAACCTTTGTTTACCATTATATTTTATTCTATTAAATAGAACATTTTCAGACATCATCAGTATTGTCTACGGCTACCGTCAGACGTATATTTCATTTACCGGTTCCATAGGTAATTCCGTAGTCTCCATGAAACAAACCTAGGAAACATGGAAATTATATGATAATCGAACAGGACTAAAATTTAAACACCAACAAACTATGTGTCGCACCAATATTTGCAATTAATGGACAGTAACACAGAGACGATGGCAAACGAAGCTTCATATCCAGTTAAGGCACGCTGCACCAAAGAGGACACACCCGATAAAAAAAGTGACGTAGAAGACCTCATCCTGCATCTCGCGCTCTAATTACTATAAAGAAGATCCAAAAAAGTTCATCAACAGTGAACCAACAGAAAAACTCTGGTTGTTCCTTTATGAACAGTCGGAGTTAAGCAGAGCAGTCACTGACGAACTCAAACTATCTCTTAGCAGTGGCACATTTTTTTGGCATTCAAACTAGCTTATGGCCAGTTGAACCGCATGTAACATAACATTAATGGGCAAACAGTGAAATATTTTAGTGTAATTATTCCACTCCTGCTGTAATAGTAAAGACGGCCAACAGTTCGTCTATAGTAAAACCATTGGCCTATATTATGTAGTAGACATCCAATGGTAGTACCATCCACACATGCCAATATTTCTACTACACAGTCGTAAACGATTTGATCACAGCTGGAATCAAGAGTGTCCGCAAGAACGTTGAACACTGCCGGCGTATTCGCAGCAGGCCATAAGCCTAACTATCTCTATGCGGTGACATTACGATTCCATTAGGTATTTTATCCAGCTACTGGAAACTAGCGACTAGTATGTCATTCACAGTAGATGCTGGCTATATGGTACATCGTAGTCCATATGACTGAACCATTAGAGCTAGGGGGCAAGCAAGGATTTAATAAACGCGCCAACAAAGCGCCAATTGCCCGTTTCTACAGATTGCCATGATAACACTTCAGAAAATGCCAAGGGTAGAGACTGCGGTTCAACGAAAGGCTCTCGAAATAGCGCTACAATCGAGGCATACTTGTAAAAAGAACACACAGTTCTCATTTCGATGTCAGTGAAGTACCGTTATCGTTAACAAAGTTCTGCTATGAAGTTTCACACCATAGAAAAGAATGTAGGAAAATGAACATAGAGAATTTAGTATCTGAAAAATGTCGTTGACCTTCATAGCAGTACCAAGCCCATGGACAATATAACGATACCGGCGTGTCAACATAATAATTTCGTACAAAAGCCATACAAACTTCTTAGAAAAGTGTAATCAATTGACAAACTTTGTTTTTAATTCATACAATTTCTGCAGAGCTAAAAACGCGTATACGATGTGGAATAATTGTAAAATAACCATTACTAAGCTGCTGAGTACATACTCATTATACAGATGTGTAGACACTAGTTTGTCAGAACGACAAAAAATGACAGTACGAAAAAATAATTCTACAAATATATGATTTATTGAATATAGATTCGCATTGATACATCAGCTATAAACAAATAGTATATTGGCACGAGATTCTGATACTGCCTGGTTTCTCTTTATTGAAAATGAAGTTTCACTATCTTTCTCGAGACAAACTTTGCTTTTATAAATGGATCGACTAATTTATCTATTTCTTTAAAGATTAAATAATCATTAATGCACAACTCAGCTACCTCAATTGAAGGATGGGAATGATGAGACGGATCCAGCTTGCATCTCCTCCCGAAAGTTAAGCTTAAGTTATATTTAGTAAATTACTATATTACTATATATTACAATATATATTACTATATAAACCGCAATATATAAAAAAAACTTGTCATCACAACACAGATTAATTCCAATAATAGAAAAAAAAAAGATTTAACAAAACTTGTGAATCAAGGTGACAGTCCTTTAAAATAGCAAAAAATCAAAAATATAGTAACTGGAGTGACGTAGAGGATGTTTTTAGCTGTGAAGCCGTTGAAAGTGATGAGTCGAGTTTCATGCATGTCGCATGAGAATTCATGACGTTCAAGTTCATATTAAAAATTAGATTAAAAAAAAAACATTCAGACAATCTAAAGATTGCTTTGCGGACTTAGAATCATAGCGTAAACGGAAGCAAAAGTTCGAATTTTAGTTACTACTGAATCGACTTCGGTTTCATTCAACAGTTACCACGCAGTGAGCTCTGATTACATAAGCATTCTTTTTTTGCTTGCAACGGAATTTGTCTTATACGTTCCATAGAGGTTCTGTGCACATCGAATAAAAACCCAACTATAGCGTTTCCTCGACCCAATAATGCCTTCGTGAAGACAGACTATTATTTTTGGTCGAGCCCAATTCTAGGCTGACGATCTGAGAAACTCGATGACCAAAGAGAACCTCAACCAGGTACCAAAGATACGTCTACAATGTTATCGTTTTCATTATTCCTAGTCAATTTATTTAGTCGAATTCATTGAGTGGAAAAAATCGTTACACGCGTAAATAAGGAGTTCGGTCTATTGTTCCGTATAGAAAAAAATAAACTAAAAGTCGCTTTCCTTGTACGTACGGCTAAACTCATTGAATATCTTAGCAATGGATTCAATCGTATTCTCCACCATTTCTCCATTTACCATGCATAAAACGTGTTGACATAGTTAAAATACAATGCAATAGCAAAAACAGTTGCCTTCTTATATATATTCGTTGCACTGAATAGCCAAAAGTTTATTTGTAGGCTTTGTCCTAGCCAGGTTCTGTATTCCATTTTACTATGTCTTTCTTCTCGGAGCTCTCCCAAGCGCCACACGAAGCGTATCTACGTTCGGTTTTGAATCTAGGCGATCACGTGTGCTTAAATTTTGGTAAGCAAAGATGTAACCATGGCATCATCACAGGGACCCTCCCATGAAAGCAACCAGCTAAACAGTGATTTCTGCTATCAAAAAATACATATCTAGCAGATCTAACACGTGCTTACATGCAGAGTCGGTACACGAATTTGTACATGATATTATATTGTGACGCAGACTAGCATAGACATTTGTCCTATATCAATTTGCGTAGTTTTATCGTTCGGCATATTGTTATTACACAGCGTTCGAAATTCGATTTTCATCGTCTGGATTATAGTTTATTTGGCACTGGATTATGTGCGAGATTTCACGTCGACGACAGGACCACAAAGTTCGAAGCTAACAAAGGAAACGCATTGAAGGTGTCGGCATTTGTTAAATACAAAAAAAATCATGTTCGAGAGCTTATTTGGCTGTGTAGCTTTCTTGTGTATAACTATTAAATGATGTTCGTTATTGGTCTGTTAATCAGTGATGTAAATACGATAAAAATGTACATGTTACTTCAAACGAGCAAACGTGGCTTCATAGAGCTGAAGGTAGAGGGAAAAGCGGCTTTGAAATGGTTTATTTATATCCTATCACGCATTTGGTTTATTGTAAAACATCGCTGGCTCTAGTAAGAGAAATGACACAGCGAGCCCCCAGGGCATGGCGTCATTTGAAATTTAAGATATACAGTGCGTGTGACAGCAGTATGATAAATTCCAGGTCAAATTTCCATACGCATGCATCACTCGTGTAGATTTTCCATTGTCTGTCCAAACTGAAATATCACATTTTGAGGAACTGTCGTATTTGGTTAATCGCCTGTCTACTATTATAACCACGATTATATCCAATATACATTTGACCGCACACAGTTGCAGGGCGAGATTTTTAACACGAAACAACTGTGTGTTTGTAGGAACTCAGTCGAAAACCGATTCTTTTTTCAACGAAACGGTTGCTATATTGTTGGTCTTTACGGCGGAATAATATTTCCTTATCTGTACTTTTTGGCTAAACTCTTTTTTGGCTATTATGATACTAATTCCATGCTAGCAAAAATCCACCTTTTATTATACATTGTACTACACTAAGTTAATATTTACTTAAGGATTTGCAGTACGCTACCTCTAATAAAAAAAATATTGGAGGGATTTGATAAAGGTCATCTTAATTTCAGACAGCTGATCACTTCAAAAAAGAAATAAAGGATAAAGTAACCGCTGAATCTAGTCTTTTTTTACATTAGCTGCATTAAATGACATACCTACTTCACATAAGTCACAAAATTATATAACACACACCGTACCTATAAGCACACACGCACATAAAGAGAAACAACAATTCACGAAGATGTCATGATCTCTAAATCAAAAGAAACTTGTCTGTTCCTGACCAGCAGGACGAACGACGTTTGGCGTAAATCGAATAGTAAATTAAGTCACCGGACAAACTTGTTTGTCACTTTTTTGTGATCTCGTCGGAATGACGAACCAAATGAATAGCAAGACGAAATAAGTTAACCAACCCATGACTTAGACGGCCAGTTCTTTGACAGAAAATGCTGGACACCGACGATTCGAGTTTAGTAGAGATACTGAATCGAAATAAACAATAAAAACTTGATTGGGTTGAAAACGGCTCAAATAAACCAACATCAATCCCGAAGCCTCTTTTTGAAAGACGCAGAATTCCACACCAGTCAAAAGCCTAAGCTCGCAATAGAAAGAGGCTGAGCACGTTTGGCACTCGATACTTGATACTCTTAGTACAAAGATTAATCACCAAATTCTGTCACTCGTGTGTAAGTTGGCAGGAACTAGCCCGATACTAGTTGAAAAATGTTTTTCTCGGTGGTATAGATTGACCGTACAAAGAAAGAAACGACTGAGAAAAATCGTGTTTGTGCTAGCTGCGTGAGATACACTGAAAGCCGCCTAACCCAACAGGACCGAACCCAATGGCAGGACAACAAAAAAAATCTCATTGAAAAGCACTTATTGGCTTAGGACGCACAAGGCTTCATTTTTCCCCTAAATTTACTCTTCATACTGGTTAGATTGTTTAACCCTCACCAATAGTAGTATGAAATAGAAAGTGTGTGCTTCAGCACCGCCCAAAGTGCCCAAAAGGAAAACCCAAGGTACAATCTGCGGAAAGGTTGCCATTTAACACTGATGTGAAACCATTCTTCAGATATTGAGCGATATCAGTGAACATTATGGGCGGAAACCTTCGATAGGCGCGCTAATTCGGTAGGCTACAGATTTTAACCGTAAAAATTACCTGGACGGGAACAGTATCAACGAATTGTATGCGATTCATTCACTAGAGAAATAATATGCCATATCAGCGTAGCCTGGCAATGTCTATAAGGATAATTTCAATTAATAATGATAATATAAGTACGAAGTTATGCATGGAGGACATTTCTTTGCGAGGTACCTTTCTGCACTATCGCATCTTATCAACGACTTGCCGAATGCTACAGCGAGGAGGAAGTACTGTAACAGTTGAAATGACATTGATATCGTGAAATTGTACTGGGATGCAACTACTGTATCTTGTAATGAATACCGTAAAGACGCCATTGGCTTTTTGTTTAAAAGGAAATGTTCCTAGAAATATATCTGTTTATCTTTGTTCTTGCATATATAAATATGAATCTAGTTTATTAATGTAAAAGCAACACTACCTGCACGGCAGGGATGCACGTTGGAACTTCTGCATGCATTATGAAAATAATAATCATAATAACTTCAACAAATTGATTATGGTTGCTCACAGGCACCCACGCATCGAATATTGGGCTAATTAATGAATGTGCGCTTTCGATTTTTTCACAGCTACAAAAAAATAGCACAAAATCGCTGCCACCCCCAAATGACCAACAAAGTAAAGATTCCAGTAAAATAGAAATATTTCCGGTAAACGCATCATCGCGAACGCTACTCCCAAATAGGCAACAACGACCATTTTTATCTGAGCGAACAGTATTCTCTGGACTGTCCTTGTCGGAATCTTAAATAATTTCTGTTCAGAAAAATGCTCCAAGAGGTAATCTTCCGCTGTGGCAAAGAAAACCATGGTAATAAAGCAGAAATAATAGCCCGGACTCACGCCTGGAAATGAGAAGAACAAAAAGAAGAAAGAGACGTTAACAGACTCGACCTCCAATACATTTCTTTGTATTCATTGTAAATTAACTCTTTTGCATTATGGGTACGTTTGTGAAGTCAGGTCCGTCCTGTTCCCCCGTGGGACATATGGGAGGATATTCTGCCTAGCAGACGGGGTACCTATGATATTTTGTGAGCCTACCCGAAACACAGACTTTAAAGTAGTCAATTGTCGTTCACGTGCACAAAGGGTATGGTCAGTTAATTATTAACCATGCCAGAATGCGCTGATGATCAGAGTGATTCCCATCCGGATGCTTCTATTGTTAAAAGGCGCCCTCTTGTAGCAGTTGACAGCCAGCCAATATTGCACCGTTTGGTTCCATGAACGCATTGTTTCTTTGAGTGTGGGAGAGCCTTCGCAGCCCCATACATCCACATTGCAGACCTGCTTTTACAATAAGGGAGAAGTCATTCAGATAAGGTTTACGAATTAATGATTAGAACGATGCACGATATTTGCTTTGGTTCTTAACGTTAGTCTTGCAGTCGCATGTACTTACGCTATCAACAATTAATCCACAATAACCTCAAGTCTCACTAATGTGCGCAAAAGAATGTAGTTTACAAGAAAAAATAGTTGTTTGTCTAAAAATAAACTGTAAAATCTCCAATAATAAATTGTATATGACAGACTGAAGAATAGACAATCAGTAATTCAATATCAATCTGGATAATAAATATTGAACTAATAATTAAGGGTCAAGTAAAATAATCTACAACAGTAATATAATTTCAGAAAATTATTCCAAAGATTCGATATAACATATATTCCCCTGATTTTAATAAAAATCCAACTATGTGTGGAACGTGCAAATGGAGCTTCGTGATGAACTTTAGGTCATCATAAATTAAATCCATGAATAGGCAACTTATTTGAAAAACTATTATAGTATGATAGTATGATTTAAAGTAAGATAAGTTAAATTTAAAAATTAAGTAAATACAATAGATAAACTGCAAAACTTATTGACTAAAATTAGTATTATAAGCAAAGGAATTCTCTCTAAAAAGGCTCTCTCTAAAACAAAGGAATCCACCGAAGGTAACTCAACTATTGCGGCAATGTCATTGCTCTTTTCGCTTTAATTTTGTTCCTGATCGCCTCGAAAAAAAACTCAGAGAAAGTCACAACTTCAGCCGTTGTACGTACCGTGTTAAAGTCGATGGCCTGTTGTTGTACGGGTTCGCCTGGCAGTTGATTCAGCTCTCTTTGGCGATCGGCATCGCCGTCCGTCAGTATTTTCCGGAACTTAGGCCCCTCTCCACTGCGATTGACCCAGTGTTCAGGGTAGGCTCCCAACCCAGACGCGATACAACTGCATTCGGCTAATAAGAACCCGATGTAAAGCCGAGCACGGAAGCCCACAAACATGACCCACATATACCTGTTTGACAAGAAAGATAAATGACGTAACAAAAGACACTAACAATATCTGGTTTAATACCTTGTGGGAAACGACTGAATCAACAAATATTAAAGTGACCCAATATAAAATCATACGCTTTATATAGCAAACAAACAAACCCTATTTATCTCTAAGTTTCAGTTTTGTTACCTTCTATTAACATTAAATATATCACTAGCGATTAATTTGTTTCTTTTTGAAACATTTTTTTTCTTATTTACATATTTAAACATTATCAGATCGCTATCAGACTCTACGCCATTAAAAATTTACACTTAGCTATAGAAACAATAACTTTTTTAACGATCCATCGTATTAATCGGGCACGGCTGAAATAAATAGGTACACAAGGTGTCGGTAGGTTTTGCGTTAATATTTTCCATTTGGAAAAGAGCGCGCTTGATCTGTATCTGTATCTGCAACCGTCCAATAACATGATAAAATTAAAAACTTCTGGCACTTACCAAACAGTGTAGAAAAAGCCGCTTTCATCGTGGAACTCCGCCGTCTTGGCGGGTTGGATCGGCGCAATATAAATTGACGCAAAGAACATTGTAATAAATATTGGGAAATAAGCGAGGCGGAACATTAGAAAAGGCTTCCGTTGCACAAACGTGGTCGAACACACACCATCCATGAAATCCATGAACGTACGGAACCTGATGCGCATGTCATCATAGGTGAATGTAGATAACGTTAGCTTTCGAACTAACACGCCAGGATGCGCCATGTCTAGATAACGAATTCGTCCATGTCAATCGATTACATATGCAAACGTACCTACAATATCAGGTCCCAATTGCTGAACGTAAATATTTAATGTTACCGATGTGATTATTGTTAATTACAGTAAAAATGCTGATATCTGATCGTAATCGTTAATAGGACATCTAACTTATTAACATATTATTGAAGGCGTTCAGTAGTTTACCGTAAACAGTGGTTCCTTATGTTGTTTGAGCCTTAGTTTTGCTTACCGAATATAGGGTCCTGCCAACAGTCCAATATACGAAAATGCATAGTGGACAATGTCCTTAATAGATGTTTCGTATAGTGCCGAATCAGTTCTCACCTCAGGCTCACTTAGTTCTACCCCTAGGCCACCCATTCTCAGCGCTAACATCATCATAATCATATTGCTAAAATTATTTGCACAGTAGAACCTGAAAGGACACATTCACACAGAAATTATATTCTATAGCTGTTTCATACACATGTATCTATATAATTATCATGTAAAAATAATATGATTGTTAAACAAAAAGTTCAAGCTAGATGTTGTTCGGATTTAACGTAATTAAGGTCGGCCACTTGAATTGCACATAACATTTATTGATTATTCTCCTTTTAGTTTAACCTACCGAAAATAGAAGAGGTACCCAAAAGCGATACAGTTGAGTAATGGATACAAGTTGAATGCCTTTGTCTGCCGATGGAGTACAATCGTAACAATTGTCAACGAACAAAGAGCTAGTTGATGCACAAAGTCCCATCCTGTTAGCAGGACACTCGTTACCAAACCGATCAATGTGCACACATTGCGATGATATGCTTTCGGAATCTACGGACACTCACAAAAACGGAAATCTATCTTATTTTCCGAGCAATAAATTATTTTACCTTTGATTTATAGAAGCGTTTATAATAGGCAAGCGAAGCTTTTTTTTTTTTGCAAAATGTATAACAACCATAACTTTTATTTATTTATTATTTAATATATGCCATTGCTTCTAAATTGCATCTAGGCAAAGATTTACGCACCTTATCGATATGGGTCACACCGAAGACGATGTGAATCGTAAGGAATGTGACGTAGAAGAACTCATCGTTCATTGTTGTACTCGATGATTTTGAAAATTTTCTGAAAAGTATAGTGTATCTATACAAGCTATTGTCGATAAATTAAAGCCCGTTGATATTGGATTTTACGTCTGCAGAAGGTTACTGTGGGTACGAACCACTTTTTTCCTAGCGTATGGACCAAAGATACATTTTCCCAGTAACGATGAGAAAATGTATTTTTGGTCCATGGACTGTTGAAAATAATTTCACAAACTTTTCTGGATAACATCGATCAGGATCCCAGTTAACGCTAATGGTGAGACAAGGGGCATTCACAGTACAAGCTAGTAATAGGTTGCAATCATAAGGACCTGCTTTGTAAGTGCTCTCTCTTAGCAAGGCAGGGATGCATATTGTAGTGCTATTTATTTGCGTTAGAATACGCACGTATACATATAGGATTCACAGTTAGGAGATATATACGCTATTGGCGGTCAAATAAAGATTGCAGCTAGTCAAAAAGGACAGAAGGCACTTCTAAGCCATTAGCACTTTACCTGGGTGTTTGTTTTTTCTAAATCGAACCTCGATTTGCTTATTTTTGTATTATCTGATGACATATAAGGTCAACCATTTTGAAGAATTACGTATGCTTAATTTATCCTATTATCTGAGAGTGAGATGGCACAGGAAATTACACGAGAAGCTGAGCAAGAGAAACACGACAGTAAAACTTAACGTCGTTGGGACATACAGTGGCACGACCCGGTCTTGTGCTTCGTACAGTAAATAGCATGTCAAATAATCGACTTACGACTGTGACTATCGTGACAGTGTCGCTGCAGTATACCGTTCAGATTTTCAATAACATGCTCTTCGCAATGGCTTTATGAAGCTGTCACTAGTGACAGTGTTATTCCAGCATAAATCTAGCCATGACAATCGATTAACTATTATTTCTAGCAACACTCCGTTAGCCACACGAACCTCAATTGATTCATCGGCAGTTATAAGCAATATATGTTAATTAGTTTTATGAAGTGATTGGAACGAAAAGCATGACTCGCCGGGCATACCTGCTTTGCATAATTTACTCACGTGGTTACAGGAATGATTTATTTCTACTAGAAACTTCGATCGCAACCATTCAAATGCTTAAATCTGGAAACTGGTCTATGTGTTTTAGGCCTCTACTAACATCATCACCGGATAAAATAAAACGGTGTATAGAATAGACGTATCTATCCTAAAGTGTTAGCGTAGACATGTTTAGAGGACTGAATTATACCTCGCGATTAATAAAGTCGTAACATGGCGCGACTTAGCACGTGAGGTCTAAGATTTGAACCGTCGTCTGTTATTCTACGTAACACATCATATTCTTTATAACTCTCACTGGGCTAAGCGAACTCTTAATGAACAAAATCTATTTTCTGAATTTGAAGCTCACCTAAATATAAAGCGTTGTTTCACATATCGGATAAACTGCCATTGGAATACGGTTGAATATATTTTATAGATTAAGTTATGTAAGGTAAAAACAAGCAAAGTTATTGGACAGAATGTGGCGGAAGATTCGTTATTATTTTCACATTCTATCACACAAAGTATAGCTTTGCAATATGTAATAGGTGCACATATCGTATATATATATATATATATATATATATATATATATATAGGAATATTTATTAAAATCTCCAATATTTAACAGTTTATTGAATAATTAGTTAACACAAAGATTTACATTCCCTGTTTAGTTATTATTATTTTATTCCTATTATTCTATACATCCGAAAGGGATCCGATACCTATTGGTTCGACTTTCATTCGTTCAGTGTCGCAAGCAGTATTAAGCATAATGTACCGCAATACAGTCAGTGTTTACAATTCTTCCTTCTAGAATAAACAACTAATAAGTAAATCTCGATTTAAAACAAGATCCTTTTAGCGCCGCTAATAGGCGCTAAATAATTAACAGTAATTTACAATAGCTCCGACAAAAATCACCAACGAACCAGTGCCTAGTGCTGCTACTGCTTTATTTCCGTATTGATAAAGTAATTGCCGCTACTCAATGCTGCCAAATGCTCTTCTACGCAAAGAAAAAGATGCGTTATGACATCACGCAAGTATTCCCGTCATGTTGAAATCGAATCCCACTAACGACAAGCACATAGTCTCCTCTATCAACAAACATCGCACGATCTATTCATCTGTACACTGCTTTTTATGTCGCTATTGAGCCTCTCTATAAATTGGCACTCGCCTGTCTATGCCTGCAAAACTTACTTGTAGAAAGGGCAAGAACTGTATCAAGCGCAAGCAAAGAACTCCAGTGATACGACATCATTTCACTCGCCACATTATCCGCTACTGGTTATTCTATTGCCGGAATTTCGCGTATGTTTTTTAAATCACAATTGGATGCATTTTTCCGTCTCTGCCTTCTCTTCTACGCCCGTATCCGTCTTAATATGTAGAACTGTGAATGTTTTACAGGAAAAGAGGAATGATAATCTCACTGTTAAATTTTTTGCTACTGTGAGCTGAATGAGTGTTCGTGAATGAGTTACCGGGATAGCAGACGAATTTTGAAGTTATGTCATCTGTGAGAAGATAATTTCGAAAAAAAACCTTCTTTGACTATAGAGTGTGATGGTGGGTTTCGTACAGTTGGCGAAGGCGTACACGCGCAGTAGATCGTGGTTGCTAGTGCAAAATAGATGATTTTTGTTCTCCGAAAATCTCGTAATCTAGTAAAAAAATAATTAAAGTTACTTGAAAAAGTCGTTCTATGGTCAATCCAATAAGCTTAAATATACACATGTCTTGTAAAGCTAGGGTTATACTCGTTCTATTGAATCCACCATTGCGGGATAACATCACCTTTACATAAAAACTTGATCTTTTATGTACTGAACTTTTAAATGGTTTTCGTGCTACTAGTTTTACTAAGTGCAAAATTTACAAATTGGAACCTATCGCTTCTATGTATTCATCGTGTTATCATTATTATATAACTTTGTATACTAGTTCTGAATAAGGTTGAGGGTTTTTTGTAAAAAGAACACTATTTTTTTTACCACAACGATAAGTCTTAATTATATAGATAATATCAATATACATTTATGGAAAATCTATTCAAAGTTGAATGTTTTATTAATATCAGCTTAAGTCTACGGAACTTACTGAGGGGTAGCATTTAAAAAAGTTAATTTTCAGCTACATACATCCGCAGTAAGGCCGTTGTTCTAAATGAACATTGGCAGTAATACAAAAGTGGCATATTCGGAGTTCGTGAAACAAAGTATGAAGATAGTTTACAGTTTTCGTTTGTAATTAGAGTAAGCGTTTTTTAGATTCGCTGCGAGTGCTGGCATTAGGGCCAGCACTAGTAAGCGACATTTTTTGTAGGGATGATTACAAACAGTGGCGTTAATATATATCCGGTCACCGATGGTGTAACTGTGCAATTATTGTGTCAAAGAAAATGCCTTGAATAAGACATAACTGTTGCGTAAATATTGGCTTATTTCTTTGTTCATTATAATGCCTTCATGGCACTAAAGATAGATGAAGTTGGATATAGATGTGCTGAGCAGCAACTGGGTTGGATCCTTAGTCATTTTAATTCTTGTGGAAATTATGGGGCGTAGTGGTTAGTTCGGACTGGATCAGATCGGATTCTGTAGAACGAGCTTTCTATGCGAATAAGGTTCAACGCGGGCAATTCTTAACAAAAGCAAGGGGAATACTTAAGGAAGCCGTGGTGACTAGCCGCCTGCAAAAGAATGCAATGTTAATAATAATAATGGAATAATAACTCGTTCAGACAACGTATTTCTAATATATTAATGCACAAATATAAATAGTTACAATTCGAATGTTATATTTGGTTACTTACATCTACAATAAACGTTTTCGGAACTCGAACCGACTCTATTCTACATGTTTATACTTTTCCCCACCGCCTTCTCTAAACTGTAATTATGTTAATCTTTCCTTGATAAATATAGTATCCCAAAGGCGCTCGAACAATCAACTTTATTTATAATTTTCGATGTTTAATCCTGTATTCGGTACGCCTAGGAAGTTGTATCAAGATTTGAATAAACAGGACCGCCGATATAGAAGGAAATTACGTTAAATACAACAATTTTTTCATCCATTTGCCTAAACATGGAAGAACAAGCATTTTAGACACGCGTACAAAAACGACGCCATACGCTCTTCCGATCTCGTCTCATTTTTAGTCAACACAAAGATCGTTATTTAATAATTACTGCTTGGCTCCTCATTCACCATTTAGCTACGCTAATCCGTCCTCGCGAGATTATACCGTACGCATCCGTTTTGGAGGATCTGTACACCCTAAAAGACACGCCCTCTATCCCTCAGCCCCTTATGTTCTGAGCGATACGGGCTGTAATTGCCGCAAAGTCTTTGTTGAGGCCGCAGAAACGATGCTTCTAATATAGTCGTAGAAACCTCCTCTAATGTTCGACGCTACAACAAGATTTAAAGGCTTTTAAATGTCACTTCTTTAGGCTGGATTTAGGTCAAAAACACTTAGTGAAAATGACAGCTTTCATCACCAGTTATGCCGACTAATATATTGTAGGGAACACTGCGCCACGTGAAACCGCCTTTTTAGGAACAAATTCGATTCCTCATCAAGGTACCATTGTTGTTGGAACTTCAAACTTTTTTAATGAGAATTTTGTACGTAGATGGAGAATATCTTCTCGGTGATACCTATGGGTTCAACATCCTGTCTAATCTGCTTGCTGCTTTATTGGACTTACGGTAGAATAATGACAATTGTGCTACAACAACTATTCAGGACAGCGCTATCCAGTTAGATTTGGTAGCAACGGTGATCTTAAATTATAATTCTGATAGAAAAAAATACCATTTATATGAGAGTTCCAATGTAAAGCAGAGATCTTCAAAAATTAATAGCAAAATATACTAGACTATGACGTACCCCTGAAAATATTCTACGTTCCGAAAAATTTAATAGAGCTTCATTCATCGAATTGCTAGGGAAACTGCACTTTGCTTCCTGCGAAAATCGACGCTTTTGATTCCACTGGCAAACTACAAAATATTTTAAGCATTTTGTCCTCAATAATAAAAATATGTTTAAAAATTATTAACATATTCCGTACAGTTGTTAGCTGTTAGGTGTCCGCATCTTAATTTTTCAGTTATTTTCGGACCAGCAAGCAAACTTCAGCTGCATCTATGGATCAGGCCTCAACATTCTTACTAGTTTCTTACTAGGCTTTTTTGTTGATTGCTTATCAAATCACCGCTGTATAGCATACGTAACCGGCAACGCTTGAGCCAGTAACCTCTGGTGTTTCTCAGCCGCAGGCTACCGTGCCGATGTACTACTCTATAGCCCTATTTCCTCCTGATTTAACGCTCCTAAACACTCTAGCATATGAGGCAAATTTTTTTTACCGAAGTTATTTCTGACGAGTTAGACAATTTAGTACGATATGTTGTATTATTTTCAATTATAGCTTTCAGCTTTGCCTCAGCCCACAGGGCCGTAGCCACTGTCCACAATTGTTTATTCGACGCCTAGTCGAATTATAGAATTCTGGAGATGACAGCGCTCAATGATGTGTCCGGGATCCAGCTTCCGCTGAGTCGCTGTTTTAACGGTGCTACAGGGGACAAGTTCCTCGCAGCTCCAGTGGAAGGAAACTATAAACGTGATTAGCACTTGTTACAAAGTAGGATTATCTTTTAATAAGCTTGCACTAAATTAGAACTTAGAGGCAATTTCAAAACCCCTTGCCCCAGCTTCTAGCGACTACAGAACGGCCTCTGTTTGTCTATTGCTCATGGCCGAAAAAATTAAACAAGGAATAATGCCTACACCTATATAAGTGGCGTCCCAATGCGACTTCAGGCTCAGATGAGACGTAAGATCCTGTCCTTGGCAGTCCCAGTAATATTTCACGAGTGTCGCTTTACGAATCCTCAGCACTGAATACCATGCTCAACGACTGATAGCGAAAGAGCTAATTCAATTTCAAGCGAACGTCACCCGTTGCTATCTCAAATACTACAATATTTACCACCTCCAGGCTCTCAAAGGCCAGTGCAAGGGCGTCCTCCCCCCATATGATTTTACCACGTCGAAAGTAGCCGCCGAGTTGTTGAAAGAGATGAAAAAATATCGGAAACTCCGTGTTAGTGGGCTGATATCACAAGCCGAAATTGTAGGAAGTCTATCACGATAAAGAGGATCTAATAATGGGTTGAAGGCAACTGGGGCGAGACTGAGATTTTTCAAACTATTATTCGTAAAATTCTGTATTTATCTTTTAACAACCGAATGCATCTAGACTGAAAAAAGACAAACTTTCATCCGAATTGCACGGTTTAATGAAAAATTAATACATAAAGGGAAGGTCGAGGACTACGGGTCATCGAGTTTTGAACATTTGAAGGACCCAAAAGATGAGGGTAAAGGATGAAAAGAAGAACTTTTCGATTATGTGAAAGAAACGACTCTGATCTATAAACGAGTTTATAATTGTATGAATTCGTTGTTCCGGCATTGTCATTTTACCCATATCAATGTGCAATGTTTACTTCTGTTTGTAAACCGTTGCTAAAGTTTGAAGTCGCAATAAAAGTGCAGATATTGATGATCCACCCAGACATAGGAAACATCCAATCTATTAATTTGAAAGTTTGAAAACGCTGAAATAGACTAGAAAACACACCGATTGAACCGTAGTCGTGAAACGTCTCTAACTCCTACGTCTAAAGGTATACAACTATAATATTCGTGTGTACACGACGCTCGCATCACGTGCCTTTAACACACAAACGTGATTTAGGAATCCCTATTTATTTATGCTATAAGCCACTTCGCGCGACGCGCAAGAGGCGATTTCATATCGGATTTGGTGTTCTCGTTTTACCCGCCAGAGGGCCCGTTTGGAGGGTGCCATCAAATGTCTTTTAATGCCGCTCTAGCTGAATACTGCCGCTTCGCAATTCGAATATGCGAAAGTAATTATTCTGTTAAAAAGTAACGATAAACGCCAAAATAACGTTATAGCTAAAGTCTATAATGAAGCCTGTAACTGAAAACAAATTCTAGACTTCGGTTAGCCATCTGACACAATTCGTTTGAGTGTTAATACAGTGAAAACAGAAGGCTTGTGCTAGTGTTCCGGTTTTGCCACTCTGGACACCTACCTCGGGCCACACTATTGTTTTGTTTCATAAACGATTTCTTTTGCTACCTGAACATATTACCTATATGTGTATACCATTATGACACATATGCTATAATATATAGGTTAACTTTGTGTTGGATCAAGTGTGCACAAGTTATATATAGCCTTTCAAAAGCTATTATTTACTTCTTCGTTTTTATTTAGACCTTTTATCGACTTTGAATAAACTGCATGAAGTTCACGATTGAATGAAAACTATTTTTTTCCAGACAACTTCTGGAAAAAATTACATTTTTCAGGCAGTTTTTAGAAATCAATATATACACAGTTTTACACAATCTAATAATACATAGTTTTTCTGTATTAAGAGAGTATCCGTTAATTAGCCGAACATTTCAATTGACTTTGCTTAACTTTTAGCAAATTACTAAGAATATTTACTACAGGACATTGTCGTAATGAAACATGACTTCCCTATTATTGGCCTTAGCCAGGCATTTCTCGACCGTGGCCTTTGCCTTCTTTAGCTGGGACTTTACTTCACCCGTATGGTTAAAGGGTTCTAGCCCGTCATCCGATTCGAGTGAGGTTATCTCAGACTATATACTTTCTATTACTTGCCACCATTTGCGAGAAACAGGTTGTCTTAGTTCAATTTCAGGAGACGATTAGCCCCGCACACAGAATCCATCAGTCCGAGATCGAGGTCAAATCATAAGGCAGCGGGATGTACACTTTACTGACTTGTTCGTTGCTCGCTATATGTCCTTAAACGCTCGATTTCGACATGCCATTGTTTCTTGCAACCTTGCGAAGGCTTACATGCGAATTCTAATCGAGCACAGTTTAATAATAATAATAATTATTTAAAAGTGGACTCCTGTACCAGACAGATTTGCTAACGAGATTGGATCGTACTTGACCTTTTCCAGAAGCAAAACGGTAGAACCGATCCTAAATACTTTTCTAGGATCATTATCTTTAGTAGCTTGTGCATCTAAACTGAAATTTCGAGGAAAATCGAATATGGCGTCACAAAAAGTTGGAGGACAACCCCTACAAACATAATGAACTACCGCTCTTTTTCCTTCTCACAACCTTACTCACGGCGTCAAAATGTAAACCGATCCAAAATCCACTGCGAGCTTATCGGACAACCAAATAACATGTTAAATCTCGTAGATACAAAAAGTTCGTGGGCAGCTTTCCACAAGGATAGGTCATTTATAGCCGTAATAAGAAGGTTCATTTTTCTTATTCTAATTCGCTTCTGAATCTATCCTTTCTTTTTTTTTTATCGTTAAACAGATGTCATTAGTAGAACCATCTTTACATGGATCATCGCTATCCTTGTTCTTTCCTTTAGGACGCTTAAAAGTGGGAGGTGGAAAAAGGATCCATGATTGCAGAGTCCTTCTACACACTCATCAGCCGTGACTGATACTGGTCATTACCTTCGTGATAGTATAATGCTAGAGTGGCCGCCTATTAAATTTAGGTAAGGTGATCTAAATTCATAACATTCAGTTTCTTGTTGAAAGCTAGCCGTCTGGAACGGCGCTTAACGGCGATAATGCCGGACATAGAAACTGGCAACTACATGAATCTGCTTCACGCTTAGGGCGTAGATACGCTTCATAACGTGATAAGGGTCCAATCCTCTGAAGTAACGAAATATTAATCTGAATAGTGACCATTAGTTATTTTAAATTTTAATTTTTCAATGGCGTTTAACAATACAATAAATCTAATTCTAAATCTTAATAATCTTCGCTACTATGGCCCAGGTCTGTAATCGGGTAAGGTTACTAAAAGTAACAGGATTATTTATTTTTCCTTTTTTACATGGTGACCGTATGTCAAACAAGCGAGAAAGATCGTAGACTAACTTGCCTGAAAGAAGTAGAGTTTACGATTACACAATAGATATATTTTTTTTTTACAAAATAAACAAATTCAATTAAAAGGATTAAAAGGATTACGTTTTTACTTTGTCCACGTAATTTTTATACGCTGTCAATACAGGAAACATTTTCTAAATGCGAAATGAGACATTTTCATTAAAGATTTACTAGGAAAAGTTCAAATTTTAATTTGAAAGAGGTACAAGCGTTCTGCGCTCGAGTCTTTCACAGTCGGGTTCGTTATGATGATGTCATTAAAGTATACAAGGCAATATTAAGTCGCGCAATTAACTTATCGATGACCTACTGGAAAACTGCGGGCGTACCTTGACTTTAATGGATAGGTGGTGAAACTGCCATAGTCCTATGCGTCCATTAGTCAAGAGCTCCTTCAAACCTTTATTCAATTGGCGACAAGCTTTCCTGGAATCAATGAGCTCAAAATAGAACCTCGCGTTAAGGGTAGTAAACCTCCCCGTAGCGGTATGTAATTGATCGCGAATCAAGCGCAATTTACCTTTGATACTATATGTTTTCTTGGACCGTACAGGTAGGTAAACCTATGGGCGCTTCGAAAAATAGACGGAGAAGCCGCTGATTTCCATCGTGACGAACCCTAAACCTTGTTACAATGTCCTTATCTGGGATCGAAGGTAGCAAGAGATCTATTTTGACTTGTGTTTGCATATCTTTGTGTTATTCGAGAATTTCGTCCGGTGTCATCTGCGCTTGCGTGCGCTTTCCTACAATGAGCCTGCCAGGTTGAGGATTGTTATTGGAGTGATTCACTCCCAGCAGATTGATATTGAGCATTTTCGAACTGAGCAGTCTTAGATGGTTTCTATGTTTTGAGTTTTACGTTCGCTATTGCCGTTAGTCATTCTATCAGGAGGCTGGCTCCCACAAGATTAGCGTGCAAATACGCTACCTGCCAAGCTATCACGGGAACAGTCTTAGATGGTCTATAGTCCAGTAGTATATCATTGGCAGATATCAGTTGATAATGCGTGCGTCGTAGCGTTAATTCTCTAAGCCAATTATAGTCCGTGGGTTATGCTAACAATAGTTAGGTCATAGACGATGATACATTTGAGGCACAGCGGTGGATTGACCTCTATCTCACAAAATATCCCGCGTGACGACTCACTGCTGTTGTTAGATACAGTATAGCCGGTCATAATGAAGAATTTTTCACTTCGTTCTTGTTTGCCCGTTTCATCGTTTCCCTGATTTCTCAGTCAGCGAGGGCTTTTGGCAGCTCTTAACTTCTATACAAATAAAAGAAATTTTGCTGATAAACGCAGATGATAAAATGACCGGTAATCGGCGCCCCAATGTGAAAATAGACTCGGCAATAACTAGTTGTGCTGTAGGTCAATTATTCATTGAAGACCCTAATGATTGCGGAATTTCCCAAGATTAAGCAGTTATTATTAAAACTTCATATGGAAAACTTATGAACCTTCATTTGAGATCGTGCAACGTAACTAGACAAGTTGCATTTTAACTCGTTGTCTATAACGTTGTTCATCTTGCCATGTTATCTATTACGGCGTCATATCGCATTTCATCTAAGCGTATTGCATGGACTTACCCTAACTGTTAAGTAACTACCTATAAACAAGAAAGTCTACCATTCATATGCCATACGAAAGCGCCTTTATGCTTCAGATTGAACCATTAGCTCTGGGTTCGCTATTATTATTATTTTCATAAAAATATCATATAATTAAAGCAAGAAATTATTTTATTTGCATTTTAACTCCACCATAATTTTTACTCTAATTAATTACCCTTCCTAAGTTGATGGAATAAGTTAGATTAGATAGGTAGATAGATTAAATTATTGAAGTAGCTTCTTCAATGTTTCTCATCATGTACGCAGAATAAAGAATTTGCTTTGTTTTACTTTACGTATAGGTTTTTCTCGTCCTTAGCCGACTCTGGAGTGCCTGAAATATTTCGCAGTATCCGGCCTGGAATCTTCGCGACCTCCCTGCTACCAGAAGGCGCGCGCCTGAACTCTACTACATAAATGTATTACATATAACAGTTATTAATTGGAAGGCTTTTCAGTATCTTGTAGATCGAATCCTTCTCTGGCTAATTGTTAACGTCCATCGTTTGCCTTAGTGCGGCTGAATAGCATAGTCAGAGGTTAGCGGTTCTAAAATAATCTATTGCAAATTCGTTCGTGAGACATCTCGAATAGCTAGCGATAGGTTTTCAAGGCCCTGTGGTAATGCCAACAAAAAAGTAAGCAACGGTTAACCTGTTTCACTTCACAGCCACTAAAATGTACCGTGTTCCTTTTTTACCACTCTCAGTGTCTCACTCTACGTCAACGGATCCCTGGGATCACCGTCTTAGTGACAACATCGAAAACTTGCTATCAATAAAAATTTAAATGAATTTAACGAAAAAATTAAGAAGGACTGTCTTATAGCCTGAAGCAAATTGTGTGGCCGACCGACAAGGCGCAAAGTTGCTATTGTCTTCCTTTAATGTGTACTTTTGGAGTACTTTAAAATCTTGCTGTCTCCGGTGGATGAGTTTAAATTAAAAAAAATTAGCTTTTTAGTGTTATTAATTAGTTTATTATACTTCTTGGTATAGAATCACACAACTGTGTATGCTTTTAGGATGCTTATAACGCGGCTATTGCACATCCGTGTTGAGTGTGGCAGGGCAGAAGTTATTTGACAGATATATATATATATATATGTGTATATAAAAAAAACAGAACCTGTTAATAAAATATTGTTCCTATTTGGTGAGCTAAGACGATCTATGTATTATTTAATACAACGCTTAACGAGGCCATCACGCATACGGATGGATTCAGAAGAAATCGAAAGTCAACATTTATTTATTACGCTCTTTACGTCATATTTCAATATACTGTACAGCTATTTAAAATGTACGTGAAATTGTTAAGATTACGTTATACTTGATTTGAGATATCCTCTGCTTTGTTGGGGCTCTAAGGTGACTATTTGATCGGCCAGCAATAAGCACGCTGGGCACAAGCCCGTTCAATTCAAATGTGATTTTTGCTACTGTACTTGGATGCTACTTGGATGAGCGAAGCAAATCAATCCATTTATCGTATTGAAATCTTCAACAGGATCCTACGTTGCCAAAGTAGTTTTTCCAATTAAAAAAAGTCCAATGCTTACGTCAGCAATAGGCAGCTAGTATCACTTGCAGAACGGTAAGCTGTGTACTTGCGTATACAAATAATACCCTCTAGGGCATTGAAAAAAAAATTGATTTTAGTCTGCCGTCTATCAGAGGGGCCACCGATGGCAACCAGGCGTCCTCGACTGGGGAGAGGATGCTCAAGAGAGGATTGCCCCTCGCGTGGACACGAGTCTGCGCAATAAGATAACATTGAGTGCCGCCAGTGGCATAGCGCTAACGAAAGTCCCGATGTGCGAGAACTCCCCTTGGTATAATAAGCGACGAGTTTCTGCAAATGATCAAGAGACCGTATCGTATCCAGCCGCCGACGTCGGACCGGATCCGATCGTACTGGAGAATCGCTTGCTCCATCACTATTTAACCGGTGTTGGCAGAACATTTCTAATTGTATTATAGATGTATCAAGTGTGTCAGCGCGCTTTTTTCTGGCTTTAACCCAGTTGTATCACGATATGTGAATGTGAAGTGTTGTTAAATTCTGAGATAGTCAACACACGGCGCTGCTGTTTACGAACTTCAAAGCTTTGTCTGCTTAAAGTTTCAACTGGAAGAGAATAAGCGTTAACGGTAAGATTAACGGAAAGCAAGAATTACTTTATAATCCGCCTTTTGCTTCCTTTCTATTGCAGCTATAAAAGCCTGTTGTATAAAGAAAAAAGCTGTTATGGCTTCTAGTTCAACTCACGATTTTTACTATTGCCCAACTATCACAGACCTGCTAGGCCTAACTTATCCGTTGGAACGGTGGCCCTCTATACACATTGAGCCTACGGATCACAAACGTGTGAAACTTAGCCCCCGGACCGCTATACTACTTTCTAAGGCTACGATAATTTGCGGACGATTAGACGGGCGGACAATGAACGCTTTCGGCCAATGGCTGGCGTCGTTTTCCTTAGCGTTGTGCTCAAGGTTATGCGCTATGTGCGCGCGCCATCTCATTTATGAGCGCCATTAGTGGTGCTCTTGTTGGTTCCGCTTTGTCTGTCTGTTCGTCCGTCCGTCCATCCGGCCATTCGTTTGTGCGTCTGTCCATCCAGTGCTGCATGCACTGTAATCTTTTAGAAAATGCTAAGCTGACGGAAACCGACGTAATATTTTGGTTGGTTTATAGGCGCTATCAGTAGAGTGACGGTATTGCTAAGTGCTTTTCTGAATGACCCGCAGGTGAATGACTGCTGGCTTCCGATGAGCTGTAACCTTGGCGGTGTTTTGAAGCAAGCACGGGTTTCTGTGTGATCAACTTCTTCTACGGGGGTTGATCGTACAAAAATCGTAATTAGATTTTTTTTTTATCCTTCAAGTCGGCTTGGAAACGTTGGTCACGATGAGCGTAGAGACGGCGCCCGTGGCAAAGGTCTGGTGGATGTCGTTGGCGACAGATATCAATGTGAGTAAAGCTGTAAATAGTGCAAAGGTTTATACTGATGATTATTGTTATTATTATTAGGATTATTATTATAAGGCTTTGAGAATACTTAAACAATTCCAGTGATGTCAGTGGAAAGTCGATGTTTACTTGCCATTTTAAGGAGGCAAATTTCACTTGACAAGCAGAACAGCCTAAATGCTTTCTCGATTAGCCTTTTAAAAATAAATAATTAGGTGGTAGAATAATTCATCAGATCGATGGAGAGACTTTTCTACTGAAACCTAACCTTTGAAAAAGGCCTAACAACGCGCCCTGATCATCAATTCGTTGATAAAATCTTCTAGCTCGACCATTTGTCGTCGTAGTTAAGTATGCACTAGCGCCTTTGCAGTGTAATACTGGTATTGTTGTTTCGCGCAATCAGCTTGTGAAACCCCCGAACGAAGGGTGAAGGAAATTTTTCGCAAAATACGGTTTGACTGATGTCTTAACTGCACGTGACTAACATACGTCCAGGTGGCCTGACAACATTGCTGACAACTATCAGATAGAAGTTCGCTTCAATATAGAGCAGCTTACAATGTGTCGGTTTTTTTGAATCGAGCTTCCTGTAAGTTATTTGGTGATGGCCCAGTTAAACTTCGACGTTAGCGGACTCAGTATCAACGTTAGACGGCTCTAGGTAATTCATTCCTGACCTATTTTAAATAATCTCTATTAAGGTGCCTTGGCCAGTGGCGTACCTGGATATTTAGGCCGGCCCATGGTGATATCGCCCCATTTCAAATGGCGTATTTCCCGTTAATAACACTTATTATTACTGTAATAGTTAAATTGGTTTCATCGGTTGAACTACCAATCAACCCAAGGCGTTACGCGTTGTTTTGATCTGTGTCCATGAGTTTCGAGTATAATGATTAGTAGACATCGAACCTCACGGTACCAGAAGAGTTCTTATGTGTGCATGCTTCCCGGTTTACTTCATGTTAAGTAATTTCTCAAGGCAGATCATTGTAAGCTACTGAGGAAAATAATAACATAAAGAAAGGCATTTTGTTTATCCTCTACATGCATTTAGTAACGCAATTAATTAGATGTGTCAACCTTACTCAATGCTACCACGAGGAAAATTGCCTTAAGGGCGTATGTAATTTCCATCTTGCTTCTTTTGTGAAAGACATGTCAAACACGTTCGGCTATGAGATAAACTACTGGGATATAGTTCCCGTCCAAATCATTAATACTGAAGGTTAGATATTCCGCTTAGAGCCTTGTTAATAAGTTGAGCAACGTTTGTATCGCAGCTATGGAACACTAACGAAATCTCATCAGATCGTAAAGCGGTGTTTCACGCTCGACCTGATCATGTCAGATAGCATATAGTAATACATAAAACGGGAAAAATAATGTATCTGCGCTTTCGGTCCTTAATAATATGACAAATGGATATCGGACAAGACTTTTCGATAAAAAATCTTACTGCTAAGAGACTTTCGCCTTCCCCTGTATAAAATAGGCTAAATAGAGACATATACTAGTGTCAGGCAATTCTGGTCGTCTTATTCTCTTGTCACTGGCCAGGCTAGTCCAGAGCGAGGAGGCGTTGGGCCGCATGAACGTCGATTTGTATATGGAACACATTAATTTAATAACAGAACAGCTGATTTATGTAACAAACATCGACAGATAACCAGCGAATGGGATGGTTTGGTTGATCGAGGTGCTTTTACTTGAGACGAAGATCCTATTTTTTTTTTAACGAACAAATACTATCTGATACTATATGCCATTAGAACTTTGCCGCGTCTGTCCCCTAGAGCAGTGAACGTCTTCTCCAATTGAAGTGGGGGGCAAGCTTCACACACTGAGATACCAAAGCCATCACACCTAAATCGTACTCAATATATACCCTGTGGTACGAATTGAGACAGCTATTACGAGCAAAGTCATCATCTATCAATTTGCAAAATATATTGAATTGTCTCTTATTGTTTTCCACGTATTTTAGAAGGAGGCTACGTTCTTGACACACACTCATGTATTCGTTAATATATTGCCGCTTTCTGCATAATCTGATTACAAGGGAACCCGTCGTAGCATATCTTTAATTCTCAGCCGGTTATCAGTGACAATGACTAGAGCTAGTACGACTATGTGCTGTGATATAATAATAATAATGATGCAGAATTTTCTGACACAACACGCAGTAACAAACAGCCGCTGAGCAGATATTGGCAGGAGAGAAGGGCAGTTTTTCTGGTCTTATATATCTGATCTGGCGATAAACGAGCGATAGATGTAGAAAAAAAGGCCCACAAATCTAGTGAGTCCTAACGACACAATCTGTTTCGGCAAAATAACAGTGAGGCAAGACGGTTTCAATGAAGAAATATCTAAAATATAGGGAAAGCTATATATAATTAGTTAAGCCTAAATTCGGCGATGTTTTAACGAGCACTCTGCGTTTATGTGTAATAAACTTGCATATGCTGTCATATCCTCATGGAAATCGTCGTCGGTAATCTCATACAGTAGAAACTAAGTATTTTCTTGGTGTTTTAAACACTTTTACATACATTATTTATGCGTAAAATGTCGAGGTGCATTGCAGTCGCTCCAAGTACACCCTGATGTAACCGCCGACCTAGCTTTCTCCCTGAAGTTTTTATCGCCGTTACTTTAATAGCCAGGCATTATATAGACTACTTTTGCATAGCGACAAGCTAGCACATGTCGCTGCTGTCCTCTTGTGAGCTTCGAGGTCTTCCGCTCGAAAAGGTGTAGGCTTTTCGAGCACGTTTTTAGAAAATCGAAACATGTGGATATTTAAATCGCATAAAGGTGAACGTTACAACTGAACTTGATGGTAATATTAAAGTAGCTGACCCTAAAATGGGTAAGGGGGCACCTTAACTAAGTCATGGTGAATGCCGATGCTTTCTGTTTGGACTACTATATACCCCTGTAATTTTTTTCTATGTTCAATATTGCAAAGTAAATGTGTCAAGGATAAACAATGCTCTCAGAATCCAGTTTGCTATTTGCCAGAATCAGTTTGCTAATTGGCCGTTTGGTGGGTTTAGTCTAAGTGAAAGGTATTGCAAACGCCTAAAATATTTGATGTCCTGTGCAAATCTGCCGCTTTCGTCGTAATCGTGAGTGATTATGGGTTTTGAGAAAATGAAACAATCAAAGCCCTTTGAAGTTAGACCGAAAGTGGAACCCCAATTCCGGTTGGGGGTAAGCATTGTCTTGTGAAATCGTCCAGGTTGGTAAAAAGTGAATCATCCATAAAATGATTAGTAGTGCTTCAAATGCAATATCTGAAGTTAGCAGCTTGTGCGCGAAAGTTCAGTTGGGCATCGCTTAAGTAATCTTTCAAATAGGCTTTTCTTTTTAGTTACCTTACTTTATACTCGTATTCCTTTAAAAAACTGAAAGGATTAAATAATGGTTACTTCCTGCATGATCTCTGGGAGATCAGGCAGTTTCATTATGTTTCCGTGATGAGGCAGTGGTAAAAAGTTTGTATGAAACGTAGGGACGCGTGGTGGTCTAGGGTTGGGATTAAATACGGGTACACTTTGTGTCGTGCTGGTAGGAGACAGTTTTTTGCCTAAGGCGGATGTTATAGCCAAACACCCAACAGGGGGCCCATTATGAACCGCTGTAGACATGTCTGTGCCGTGAATACAATAAGGCAACTTCTTTTTTGATAAACGTAAGGTAATGCCGCATGTTAAGCGGTTCCCCAACCCGGTGCCATGGGAGGAAAAAGCAGCTATCGAATTACGTGAAACCCCGGAACGTCGTAGAGCTGCGCTTGAAAAATTTCAACGAAAACTTGAAGAGATCACAGAATTCAAGCCATACATGGAACAGCAATTTCTCCTCGGATTTTTGCGCACTCGAAAGTTCGATGTGGACAGCGCCGTAAAAGCGTACAAGAAGTTCTTCAAGATGCGGACGTACAACCCGGCCAAGTATTTCCCTATGGGTCAAGGAACCCTAGAACTACATAGGCACTACAGTTTCGGCTCGCTTACGGCCCTCAGTCGACGCAATCCTATCGATAACACGATGGTGCTCATTCTTCGAGTTGGCGAATGGACCCCGGAGTCGGGATTCGATCTTTCTGATCTCTTCACTCCGGTAGCCGTTGTGTTGCTTGCGTACGGAATGGATGATGCCACACAGGTGAGAATAGTTCCTGATCTTAGTGCGTAGTCTCATTATGATATTGTGCTGAAGATATGAGACCTGAGTCAGCGTAGAAAGATGTCGCATGAAGAGAAAGTTCGGATTAAAATAGATGTCAGGCATCAACTTATGCGAATAGTTTGTGTTCGAGATTCAACTATCCAAACGCTTTTCAATTTTGGAAGGCCGCAAAGGATAGAGTAATCCAGTACTACTTGACGAGCATAAGTTCTAAACCGGAAAGGCATGTACGGTGGTTTTTTTTTCATCATTTTCATTAACTGGATTACACAGGTAAATGGAGTTCGATTTATTTTGGACTTACGCGACCTTTGTTTAGGCCATCTAAAATACTTTCCGTTCAGCGCGATTCAGGTGAGTTATCTATAAATGGTGACAATATGCGTTCACTTTATCTATCTATCCACATCATTCATGTTAGACAGAGACAGATAAGTACACAGGTTCCGTCGTATCGCAGTTTTGATTATTTATTCACGAATTTCTCCCTAGATACTCTCTCATTCATGTACACGTAGATGTGCTCACAGTAGTGCTATTTTGTGAACTCGAGTCGAAATCATTATGATCGTATTGTTTTTCCGTCGAAAATAGTTGGTCAACTTAATTGTTACTTTCAGGCATTAGTCGAAGTCGTACAAGGCGCTTTTCCTGTCCGTTTTAAAGGGTTTCACATTTTGGAGAACAGCATTGTATTTAATTATCTGTACCTCATGACGAAGCCATTTCTCTCACGAAAAATAAAGAAACGGATTCTGGTGCATGGCAACGATGTCCGTCGTCTGCATGAACATATTTGCCCGTCTATATTGCCTGAGGTAAATCTTATTTTGTTATATAAAAAAAGATCAATTGAATCACTTGATGGAAAGGATGAAAACGTAAAGGGTTCACTAGCATACAACACGACGAAAATGATCAGCTTTAGCTATTTCTCTATCATTCCATATATACAAATACTTCTATTAAGATATTGAAATTAGACAAGTTATAACTCAGGCATCATTCAGTAGGTAAGATGGTAAGCAATCCAATAGGTTTGAAAAAATGTATCCCTATTGCTTATTTACATCTCTGTCAGATACCTATAGAAGCTGACCGTATCCCATTAATATGTTTCTTTGATTCCTTGTGTCAGTATTAAGCACATGTCATCGTTGGCGTCCGAATGGCGATTACGTCTATTAAGCCATTGCCATGTGTATAAAAATAGTAAACAAAGCTTCCTACACCACATAAAGGCTCTTAAGTCACCGAAGCCGATCTATATTTAATTTGGTATGAACTAAAGGTCAAAGAACTGTTTAGGTTAAATAGAACTGATGTAGAATATTTATGATGAACATATCAAGTATCTGTTCTGTTTGTTGTTAGGAGTACGATGGTCTCGATGGGCCATTCCGTTGGCGGCATTTCGTCGAACCCCTTGATGAGATTCACGACAAAGTGGTCGACTTCAGCCATCACGGGTACAATGTGCTCTGAGAAAAAAACTAAACTCTGGTGCAGAATTCAAGAAATCTCTACATGCTGCCAGTGGGCGAAAAGCACAAAACTGCTTGTTAAGCTTCAAATAATTAAGAACTAACATAACACGTTTCACACAGAAGAAGAAGTCCAACTGATCGATTACAAAGTTTAAGTAATTCTTGTTGTAGAAATCACGAGCAACACTATTAGCAATAACACTCTTTCTCGACATACGACAGCGTGTTCAGAACGTATCATTGCCTCAGATGAAAAACCGGAGCCCGCCAAATTTTAAAAAAAGTACCATTATGAAGAAGTCGTTCGCAGCGCTAAAGGGTTCGCATATGTAGGGTTTCATAATACTCAATACAGGTAGCAAGGAAATTATAATATACGTTATGGAGTAAAATGAAGACATCAGGCAGAAATTGATATATATATATATATACTGTCCTGAGAGCTACTGACGAGTTTTACCATGCCCATTTGCACTTGTTCATGAAACAGTTACAAAGGAAACATATTTTGTTTTCGGAAAGTGGTATAAATGTACAGATAGATATAACGTGTTACCAATATATGCGCCGGCTAAACCACGAACCATTTTAACAACAGTGTAAAAGGCTGGTACAACTTGTCCTTAGCACTAATACATAAAAGCGATCATAACTGCCAATATAGTATACTTATCTCATCTCATTATATATACCAAAACATGTTTATTGTCAAATATATAATACTAGATTATATTAAAAATACCGTATTACTACCACTTCTAACCACAGCTTTTATCTGGCACTCTAGCAGAAAAAAAAAAGAGTCGAACGTTCGCCTCACATGACAGAACAAAACCAGATTTACAAGAGGTAGCTAGCCAAGTATTACAACTTGATCGCGCTATTGTCACTTGTACGAACTCGCGTGCGTGCGTGCGTGCGTGTGTGTTTGTGTGTGTACGTTTTTATATGAGTCAGATCGTTCTGTGTGTGAGTATCTGGGTAACGAACCTGTGAACTGTGATATTTGTTTTTCAAATTGACAAAAGCACGGTCTAACATATTCTTCTAGACAGGCGAGAAAAGTTATGGTGATAGAATTTGACTGCCACTGGCAACCACAAGCCATTACATCTTCTCATACCCGCGACATAACTAAAAGGAAACAGGGCTAAACGTATGTCGAAAGCTTAAGCGCCACTGTCACCAAGAGGAAGTTGGCTGCACGTGACAACGTACGTGTTAATTAAGGTGGAACTAAAACTGTTCAGTTAATCTGCCTCCCGTTTAACCTAAGAAAACCAATCCAATATTATGGAATGTAGCAATGTGAATGCAAAATGGAGAGCGTTTGCCTTTTCTGATGATTGCCAGTGCCCAAATATACAACAATGACATTTTTCCTGTAAAAACATCAACAAAAGGAAATGGTTAATATAAATAAAACTACATTATATAATAATTACGTGTGTTTTTATGATATTGTATTAAAACAATTGCCATCTATCTGCTATGCAAAAGGACAAATGTCTATAAGTGGGTCTATCAAAAGAACGTAATCGTTTGTAAAATCCTACTTTTTATTTACTTTATTTAGAAAAAGTTTACCAAATGAACGGGATGTGAGATTCATTGTTCGTTTCTAGGCTCGTCTTCTGATCAGTCTTATATGAATGAGAAATAATCTTATGGAAGTAATAGAGCTGGATGCTTTTGTATTTCTCCTTGATTTGAGGAGCTGCCGTTTTGAGTCGAGCTATAGAACAATATGATCAGAGCAGGCAGCAAACGGTCTATAAGGCTGATTTTTAACGCCTTGGTTTGTTCTTCACGTAGAGTTGCGCCCCCATGCCCTTAATCGTCATAAAACGATGCTGCGCTAATCATCTTATCTTAGTAAGCTAGAATAATCTTAAAGGGCATAATTCCATAAGGGCGAAAGCGTATCTCAGTTTTTACCGCTGCAAGGGATATGTAAGTGCCCTATGATGAGGCGATGGAGATCACCTAATCCACAGAAATTGCCAAAGACTGTTAGGTACGCACGCTGTACGCTATACCTCTGTAGCTGACCCGCATAAAAATCCAACCTCGTTAAATCAAAAAAAAAAAAAGAAAAGTAACCGTAAAACTTTCTCCAGTCGACATTGTGTTTATAAAAATGTTGTTCTTCCACAAGAGGTGGGCCGCTGTGTGCGAGCTCGGTTGGTCACAACGTTGACACTAATGGTAGGTGGACAAATCGACAACGTCTGGTATATGAGTATCATCAACTGCGAGCAGCGAATAATTCATAATCTTTTAGAAATCAAAAAACGTGGCATAGTTTTCATTGTATCAGAGCATCTGCAATATGTTAAAATGAAGATGCTGCATTTGAGAAACTGAGATGCTAATGGCCGGCTTATGGGCGTCTGGAATTGTTGGTACTGTTGAAAATAAATTCCAGTTTAGCTAGCGACACTTGCTTATTTCGGTACAGACTGTAACATGGTAGAAAATGGGCTTCTGTAACCAAGGGCCACTGTTACATTCTCGATCATACATATTTGTGAAATGCGTTCCTCAAGTAGAATTGAGAAAATTTTCACAAATAAACAATCACTGGATCGACTAAATGGGTAGTTCTTACGACACCAAATGTCGGGTTCGGCAAGCCCAGTTCGCGTTCGAAGGATATGTACATCGGATTTCGATGTACCTGGGCCACCAGGTATCTCTAAATTTAGTAGACAAGCGCGTTACCCGCTATGCCATTACGAGGATGACGGTACATCAATTAAAATCGAGTTTTCATGCAACGTCTGTCAGTTCTTTCAAGACCCTTTCAAATTTAGTTGCATAACCGTCTATCAAATCTTACCAAAGGATAAGTTGTCGGGACCGTTTTTATACCTGTACAGCTCCAGAGTCACATGTCTGAGGTAATATGGACGCGTCGGCTCGGGGCTGGTGTCATTTGATTAAAAGGTACTAAAATGGTTATAGTGCTCTCGCTCAAGCTGAAGATGGAATCCTTTGAGGCGAAGGAGAGCGAAACTTCTGCAAACAGAGCCGAAACTGCTGCTCGGGACCACAGGAGAAGGATTTGTTGTTTATGGTCAAGGTGCGTTATTGGAAAAACGGCTCAAAGATTACGTTGTCGCTTTTACTGTGTAAGAAATGCTTTTCTGGTAATAGGGTCTACCGATTACAGAAAAAGTTAATCCCGAATAGCTTGACGTCTATTGCAAAAGCGTTTTAAACAACTCGCATAAAATTGGCAAGAAGAAAGGTCTGAGGTTTGACGGTACCACCAAAACTGATCAAAATTATCGCGTTTCTATTTGCGACGCTTTACAGAAGCGCAACGACGTTGAGCCGTTAGTCCCGAGTGACAAAAAATGGATCAATAATGTGTAACAATAATAAAAGATAAAAGAACAATTTGCTTCAAGATTCAGTGTGACATTAAAATTGCGCTTGATGTGATTGAGAAGCGGTCGTGCACGAGTTACTGCCGCCCTCCAAAACAATTAGTTTGGGTCTCTGCTATTGAGAATTAACAAGATCATATCAAGCCATTGGAACAGATCGACAAGAAGGCGTCGTCTCTCACCACCACATGCATCTTCAACTACTTCGCAAAAATTCAGACAAATGTAATGTTCGAATGCCTTCACTGTACATCGCGGATCACCATCGTCATCATCATCTGTCTTGATCTGTGCCTGATTCCGTAACGCTCTTAATTTAGTTTCAAGGGAGAGATGAAGCAAATTACTCACTGCAGCTTTTCGCCCGAAAAGCCCAGAAATTCTGTCTTGATGGAACGATGGCACCGTCAGAAAATAGTCACAAGTGGCCATTGATCAAAGTGGCCTATGTTAAACCATGTAATATTTCCTTAAAATGAGCAAAATACTTACCTCGCTTCTAGTTTGAAAGCGGTCAGTACTTCTTTGACAACTCGATAGCACTGTATTACACATTATCGGACTAACTTACAGTTAGAAAAAGAAGAATGGTCTCGTAAATAGTGAGAACAACAGAATGAAATGGTCGACTGCAAAAAAAAAAGCAAATATAAACTTTTTTCTTTTTTTTTTTTTTTTTTTTTGTTGACACGCATCATCTTAACGTATTATATAGAGGTACATATTTACTTCGTATCATCATAGTTTGATCTCTATAGGATTAAAATTTCCTCGATAATTGTCCGAAAACCGTACACGGTATAATGACTACATCACGTAAACATTGGTTATTTGGTCATGTGGCGCCAAAGGCCTTGTTATTACTTGCCTGTTCAAGAGCCTAGATATGGACTGCATAGGTAAGCCAGCCACTCTAGTGAGCCATAGTTTACTTTATATAGTGTTTGTTATTCATATGCGGAAATATGTGTCCTGGTATAATCGAAGGCCAGCTTCTATAAGGTCTGCTATTAGTAAGGTTATTTTAGTCTCACTGAGCAATTATATTAGATTAAGTAACTGAAGTCCAATGTGCAAGCGAAAAACCGACACTAAATTCACTTGCTTACTAGTAGCTAAATATATATTCGAAACTGGGGTAGCCTGTCACGCTGGACAATGTTTAAACCGCATTATTTTATCTAATTGCTTTTTTGCCTAAGTAAATTCTTAGGTATACCTAAATAGGTTTGGTACGATGGAAACGTGTTTTGTTCTATGTAATTAATAGCTGACGCGTTTGGTGATTCACATTAAGATCGTACCGTTTTCGTTCTATAATAGAAAAACCCGGTTTTAAAAGACCTCTTTTTCTTAGAACAAACCCGATTTTGTTTAGTTCGTAGTCGCGATAGCTGGTGAGCTGTTATTCATTGACTTCTACGGTTTAGCTGTAGATTCCACGTTTATGAAGATAGAAATGCTTTATAAATTTGGGTCAAGATCATTCTTTTCGAATGGCCTCTGTGACGAGCTCGTAAACATCATCAGCCGAGTTCGCCACCTATCAATGCCAAGTACAACAAAAGGACAACATACAACTCATGCTGCTTACGAGTCACTCATGAATCTAAAACAAAAAGTAGCTTATCAGCGGTTTATCAGATATACTCTAGTACGTGTATCACGATGCGAGGGTAAAATGCCTTAAATTGAAAGTAAAGGTAAACCGTTGTACTCTAAAGTATAGAACTGAGCCGTGAACGGCGTGCATGAACTATTTTCTAGGATTCGGCTGTTAACGGAACGGTCGAACTATGTCGAAGGTAAAAGTAGGATCAAAAGCTGACCGATGACCCCCTAACTATAAGAAAAGAAAAGTCAAATTATAGCTGTTG